GAGTTGTGTTTTGTTATAAAATTTGGAAATGTTATATGGATTTACTTTTGAACGAACAAACAGTCAAAAAAACGCATGGCTGAAATATTACTTACCATTTAAAAACTACATAACACGATATTGAATTTCTAATTGGTTTGTCTCATTACACTAAAAATCCCTTATGTCAATAACAATAATGATAAGAATGCACAAATTTTGATCGATCCGGTAAAACAAACCCGATTCAAAGCGATGAAACAAGTGATATTACGAGAAAACTGATGCATAAACCTGTCTTGGACTATTAATTAAAAATGTTGGGAAGGCAATTTTACATATAATTTTGTTTCCTCACCCAATACCTTGCCCTTACCATGACTCTAAAATTCAGAATCTGAATTAGGAATTTGGTTCTCAAGTTCGATATGTAAATTTTTTGATCTACAGGTGATACAAACCAATAAAAATGCGTGCTCTGGCGCCTGGTACACTAATGCAATTTTGTATAACCTTCAGAGCATGTTCACAATTTTTGAAAAGCTTTTACACATTAGAATATTGCTTTACAATGGTTTCTAGATGTTTTCTATAAATCCAGGTCTGGGGGAATACGTTAATTGGTTCATAATCATTAATATTCCTATTTCGTGATCTTTTAGAATTAGGGTTAGAGTTAGAGTTAAGCTGAAACGCCATATTTTTTCAAATTAATGAGCATGATATATTATGAAAAAGGATGAAATTACCTTAAAGAATCTCCGGGTAAATTTTTACAAAGAATTTTTGTTGACAATGTCACTAAATGGCTCAGGTTGTCTTTTTTTGGCTTCTTGTAAATGTGCATTCTTTTTCTTGCTTGTTAAGTGCTTGTGACCTTCCAGACCCTGGTAAATTTTCTTTTTTCCGATTTCTCTTGTATTCGGCAAGAGACCATTATCCCGTCATCGAGTCACGGATCATTTTGCTTGCAACTTGTACGGCACTTAAAACCCCAATAAAAATTACCCATTTTACCCGTGTCAAAGTCGGTAAACTGGAGGCGGTGTGTTATATTTACAGCCAACAAATTTCGTCCAGTGTATGTTCAAAAGTTGAAGAAAGGGGGAAAACGCCACATTTAAATTTATGTTGATGTTGCACATCCAAATCGGGCGTTACTTTCCGAAAAATAATTACAACTTTATTATATTCAGGTTTAATTATATAAATCCTAATTATTTTCCATGCTATCTTTTTTATTAATATAATATAAATATTTAATGTTGCTTGAGCTCCATAACAAAGTAAACTTAAAAAGACTTCATGATTAGATTTTTCAAGCCAAGTAATTCGGTTATACACTATTTAAATATGGTATAATTAAGCATTTTGGTATGATATGATAAAAAATATGATAAAAAATAATCTAATCATGTCATACTTAAATAGCTATCACTCAATAGTTATTATGACAACTTATTGTTAAGAGACTTAAATTGTTATCAACGTCCAAGAAGCGAAAATGATTCGAGATACATATCGTGATTCTGAAATCTTAACACGTACAGATATTTCAAATTACTAATGTTAGCCAATAATGAAAGAAACAAGTTTCAAACGCTTTAGGATAGATAAAGATCCAACAATTACAGTTTGCAACAAGAGGATATCATCGAAGAGAATTTTCTCGCACTAAAAATATGTTCTGGAATTCTTTTGGCTATTGAACACATCGCGGCTGATGCTGAAATTGACCAATGAAATTAGAGAATAGAAATTGATCAGCCAATAGGATGCGCTAATTTCAGCATCAACGTCACAATTCATTGAAAGCTTCCAATGACATTTCCTATGGAGTTATTGGAAGCTTCCACGAGTAATTGGCTAACACTATCCAATCATATTTCACTCAATCTTGTGATATATATTATGAATAAAACTGGGATTATACACATTATACACCACGCAACAAAATATTATTCCTCCACACAACAAATATTACTTTTCCACACAACAAAATATTATTCTTCCACACAATGTCTCCAACCGCCTCCTCAACAAACTTGTCGTCTCGCTCAGAGATAGAACCAAAAATAATTTCCACAAATACACTAATAATTGCTAACCTCTCCAGAGAAGCTTTCCGATCGGAAAATCTAATCGAACTAAGGGCCCAATTAGAACAGTACGGCACCCTTTATAAATTTATCCCTATTAAATCATTTCATAGAATTTTGGCCGTTTATTATAACACAGTAGATGCAAGCGCTGCGAAAACATTTGCTGATAAGATGATGTTTCTGAGTAGTAATATTCGGATTTATTTCGGAATGGTGAGTACTTTTATTCTTTAAAAAGCTATCAAAAAAATTCCGGGGAAATGATTATTTAGAAATTTTCTTTGAATTTGTAGCATACCCCAATATGTGATACTATCGATAAATCTCAACATCTTGCTGTACCGAAAATCGAGAAAAATTGGTTAATATCACCACCAAGATCGCCTCCAGTTGACTGGACACAAACCCGCGAAGATTCTCCAAACTCTAATACTCTTGCCGATGATTTAATTCATGCTCTGCGCCCATATGCAACGAAAAATATTGGTGATATAATTATTGATGAAGAGGAAGACGAAATTCCCAGATTTTTTTTGGATGATGTTTCTGAAAAGGGAAAAAAATCATCACTTTCTAGATTAGATGTCCCCTGTTTAACTATTATAACTAACAATGAAGGAGATAGTGATGGCGGTGATGACGATCGGTCTGTCCCTATGATACTTGTGCAAGATTGGGATCATGACTCGACTATAAAAATAGGCTCTTCGAACCTATTAAATGTAACTAATGTGAATCATAGAATAGCACAACTTCCTCCTTTGACTTACATACCAACACCAAGGCCTCCGATCTTTGACGGAATGTAACTTACGAGCGTGTACATTTTAGTATACTTGTTAGTGAAGTAGGTAACAAGACTATTATTTGTTTTTAACAATTTACGAGATTAAAGATTTGATAATAGAGATAGAATTTACTATGCAAACAAATGAATATTTTAATCATATTTATAAACGGAAATAAATGTCAAAGCGATTACATATACCCCAATATTATCATTTTAGTAGTAGTAATATTATGCGGGTCAATGCGGGTCATTCGGGTTGCATATTCAGAGCACTATCCGAAACAATAAACTGAATGATAGTTTGTTGAATTTCTACGTTCTAAAATATATAGCTTAGGTTAATAATGATCACCACACAATTGTGCTGTTTTCCCGTTCAATAATTATTATTACCAAGATTCTGCTACATGCCTTTCGTTATAGTTATCCCTGTCCGAAACAGGTCTTCCCCCTGTTTTTCTTTGAACTACTTGGAATCGTTCTATATTTGTTGGATAAAGGAGAGTATTATTATCATCGATGAAAAGTTTACACAAGACGCAACTTCTCGCAATTTTGTTGTGAAATACAATTCACTCGACACACTAGTAGGAAATCAAGAGATATCCAACAAATCAACGCTTGCCTTGAAAAACTTGGGCTATTCTCTCCTGTCCAAGTGGTCTAAGAAAGTATGATAACTTTCCCTCAACAAAGACGACATCGCTATGTCATAATAAGATGTCGAATTGCAATCAGTGAAAGTAGAACAGAGATCAAAGATTATACGCAATAAATTCGCATACCCAGGATTGAGATTTTTTATTGCTGTTACTTGCACGGGATGACGACAATGAATCAAATGTCTGGATTCAACCTTTGCTGTTATCATTGTTATCAAACGCAGAGTTATAATGATTAATATTAGACGTTTGGATGAACAATTCTTTTCACTAAATAAAAAAACTGACCATTATTATTAGGGAGAAAAGTTGTGATCTGATAATTGATTCGTTCGCTTCCACCGTTTATAGAAAAGGCTTTGGGTTTCTCAGTTACCTTACCAACTAACATAACTTTATTGATACCTATATATTGATTGTTGTCGGTGACGAAAATATTGTGTCATATGATCCGAGATAAAAGTACAAACGCCGTGTTATGATAATAGCCAATAATTTGTGGAGGGACAAGTGTTAGTAATAATCAACACGTAATATAAATGAACGAGTTATGATCAATGTGAAGCTAAAAAGGACTTCGAAAAAGAAAAACCTCTCAAAAATAATGCTTACTCGCAAGCTCTTCGTCAGTTGAGCTGGTAGACGCGAATGACCTCTACATATACGTGCATATCACAACCCATAAATATTCCAGTGCAATACCGCAATAGAAAAATAATCAGACTTTTAGAAATCAATCTCTGATACAAGAATTTCATTTCCTCATTAAATGGTAGTACTTGATAACAAATTACCTTTGAAGACCCTAATGACGCGAAAATAGTAGTAGCACTTCGAGTAATGCCAGCGCGTTGTGTAAACTTTGAGATATTTTTTAGCAACGACATTTTTATAGACCCAAAAAAAATATTATGTATCAAAGGTCGTGTACGTGCGTCAAGAAACCAAAAAGGTAAAGGGGAAAATATTTTTTTTTCGTTGGTTGATTAGGCAGAATAATTATATTCACGGTTTTTTGAACAAAAATTACCAGAGCAAAAAAACTTTCTCAAATGTGGGCGCCGACCAATCAGTGTTGCGGAATCACGAATATTTGGTTCAGACTAAAAATGAGTCAATTGGAGCAGTTTTGCGGATTTTTCCATTTTCATCGTTTTAACACATAATCTTTTGCAGTCTGATAACTTTTCTTCTTATTTGGATCTTTCGTAAAGTTTCAAAAAAAAAAAAGTGAATAATGAAAACATTATTCTCATCTTTTTTCCCGCTTGAAACCAAAGAGTCATAAAGAAAAACTTTAAATTTGGTTGCAGATCATGGTCAAAAGTTTAAATGTCCACATGTAACACGAGTGACAAAACTAACAAAAAACTGCATCACAATGATCGATAATGCCAGTTTACTCAAATCAGGCTTTTATATATTAAATTTACGTAAAAACTAAAATTAATTATCTGTCAAATTTTACAAAATGGCTGTTTTATTGCGGGAGGCAACCTTCACTCGCAAGACAAAAGAAACAGACATTAACGTGGCTTTAAGCTTGGATTCTGTTGGAAGTCAAACGATCGATGTCGATTCTGGGATTGGATTTTTGAATCATGTAAATTGAATTTTATTTAATGATGACGCAACACATGCATTTATATTCAATATATATATAATATATGATTCATCAATATACGTTATTATGTATTCAATATACATGATTCATCAATATACGTTATTATGAATTGACAACTAAATTAGATGTATGAAGCCCTTGCAAAGCATTCTGGATGGTCACTCGTGCTTAAATGCAAAGGTGATTTACACATTGACGATCATCACACCGCTGAAGACACGGCAATAGCATTAGGTAAAACGTTTAAGCTAGCGTTAGGTGAGCCGCGGGGAATCAAGCGGTTTGGGTATGCTTATGCTCCACTAGACGAGGTGAATTAATTATTTTTATTATCCATATCTAAGATAACTCGATAGTAATAAACAAATTATCTAGGCCTTATCACGTGCAGTAGTAGATATCTCTGGGAGACCATTTGCGGACATAAATCTCGACTTGAAACGTGAAAAACTCGGCTCGTTGTCAACGGAGATGTTGCCTCACGTGTTATCGTCTTTTGCTACTGCGGCGGATATTACTCTGCACGTGGATGTGTTGAAAGGGAAAAATGATCATCATAGGTACAATAATTATTTTTGTTGATTTTAAGGATAAAGAGAGAAGTAATGAACAATCCTTTTTTTTAGGGCAGAATCTTCTTTCAAAGCTCTTGCTATCGCTCTACGACAAGCAGTTGAAAGGACGGGAACAAATGATGTGCCTAGCACCAAAGGTGTCTTGTAACCCACTAATGATACACTTTATTAGACACTTTTGACATAATGAAGTTTGAATTTTGTAATTCATGTAAAGTATAATAAATTTTGACATAACAAGAATTTTCCCAAACAGTCTTAATATAAGAAAAAGAAAAATAATTTTTATTTGTGAAATAAAAATAATGATTCTTTTGGTTGATAGCTAATCAATAATCAATCATACTCGATCGTCTAATTAATTTTCTTGTCTGTTTGCATTAACGCGTTCAATCTCTCGGGAAGTGGCGGATGCGAAAAGTGATACACCGAAAACCAAGAATCATTACTCAGGTTTCCTAAATTTTTTGTATGAATCTTGATCAGACCAGATCTAAGTTGTTCCGCGTATCCCAATTTCTTTCCGTACGCGTCTTGATGTAAGAATTAAATTTTTATAATTATTAGTGTCGCGAAGACATTTCAGTCGTCCCCAAACTAACAATATACAAATAAAATACAATGACTACCGGCTTCGAATTCATGTTTCCGACTCAAGATATTCATCAAGAAAGAAACAACGTGATCAATCGGCGAATAAATATATTGGAAAAGAATAAATCCAATTAATGTCGGTTTCGTGTCAAATCCAAAAGACTGGTATAGTGCAGTGTTGTTGATGAATTGCGAGAAGAGGAAGAAGAGCGTGAACATCTGTACTTGTGCGATGGCTAGTACTTTTACTGTGTGGTTTAGGTACCAGTGACCTAATTCATGTCCTATTTTATAAAATCGAATAAAACCGAATTTATTTAGAATTAAATACGCTAATCTACTAAAAGAATAAATAATTCAGTACGTACCAACAATGGCAACAATTTCCTCAACTTCCGCAGACTCAATCAATGTATCGAACAGCACAATCCTCTTGTTCTTAAAAAACCCATAAAAGTATGCATTCGAATGTCCCGACCGCGTACTCCCGTCGATCACGTACAACTTTTTCAATGGGAAATTAATACGCGACGCCAGTTCTTCGATCTTTGTTCGGAGTTCGTTTTCGGGAAGTGGGGTCACTTTGTTAAATAGTGGTTGTATGAGTGTCGGGTAGATTGTGAGCATGATGAAATTGAATACGAGACTTGATATATCGTATCAGATAAAGGATTAAAATATAATGAAATTAGTTTTCTCGGTTTTATGTGGCTATGAGAGATATAAATTAAGGTAAATGACTTACACGAATAACCACACGTAAAAGAAGAAATTATCTCCACCCCATTTGATAATATACAGAACAAGTGATAAAACGGGTAACCCAATAACACACATTAGCATTATTTGTTTGAGTGTATCCATGATAAACAGCCGAATAGTCATCTTGTTAAATCCGTGACGTTCTTCAATCACGAAAGTATACCAGAGTGAAGTGGGAAGCGAGATTATGAACGATAGAAGACTCCAAAGAACCACGAAAACACAAGATCGAATAATCTATTTACCAAATCAAAAATTCAATCATGGATCAAATTCGACTGTTAAATCAATGAGCATACCTCATATTCGTTAGGATCATATTCAGTAGACTCTAATATTTTTCCCGCAATGTTCCACATCCACGGTAACCCATCCAGCAGAAAAATCGCCGTCGTCTCCACTTGTGCCAAAAACTCGGCAAAAAACCGAAATTTGGCTTTATCGATACTATACGCTTGCGATTTCGGGTATTTCTCGCGAATTTCCTCGTGGTCTGCGAGACTTTCTGGCGGGTTTGGATCGTGTAGCCTCTTGTATTGACGGTAACTTGATTTTTTTTTTAGGAAGGATAAGAAATTCGTGAGCCTTCAAAGGAGAATGCTCTATTTGTGTTGTTGATAGATAATCATTACCTCAGATATTGCTCAAAAATATAAACTACCCATGAAAACCCAAGCACGAATTCTTTGTACGGAGTTCCTGGTGCTTGCAAGTCAATCTCAAAACCAAGCAATTTTCCATGTATCTCTTTAGAATAATCAAATATAATGTCCATGATGCAATTATGTTCCAAATCTCATCACGTTATTATATAGTCGTGTATCGCGATTTTTGTGACATGATACTAAACCTAATTTTGCATTGTTGGATGATATCATTGATTAAATTCGATCTGCTTTTCGAGATACTAAACCTAATTTTGGATGATATCATTAATTAAATTCGATCTGCTTTTCGAGATACTAAACCTAATTTTGGATGATATCATTGATTAATTCGAATTTCTAGTATGATGTTCTCGTCACAAAGAATATAAATGTATGAATAAAATGTAAAGCATTTTTGTGGATGTATTTATGCTCTCTTTTTAAAATAACATAAACGTCAAAAACAAGGAAAGGAAATAAATTAATGATTTGTAACTAGCATATATCCAAAAACTCCAACCTCCACACCACCACCCAAGATAATAAAATATACATAAAAGTTTTTATATGTAAAAAATTTAATCAATCATCATTATTTGTTTCTGTTACAAACGGTTACTTAATAAAATTGTTATATGCGAAATCTTGGAATAAAATAATAAACTAATACCTTTGCTTTTTTTGTTTGTTTTTTTTGGTTTTATGTTAAACATCGAATATTGTGTGTTCGAAAATGGTTAGTTTTGGCCAAAATTGTGGATTCGAAATGCAAATAATAATAGTCGTAAAAATATAAGAATGATAAATGAGAAAAGAAAGTTGAACCGATCTCGTTCACAAGACCACTATTGTATCCAGGATATGCATGCACCATGAAACAGAAAAAAACCTCAAGACTAGAATAAATGCTATCATTAAAGGACATATGGACTGAAGAATTAACAATCAAAAAACCAACTTCAATATTTTTGCAAATCTTGACCAGATACAGAGTCTTCTTGTTGATTCGTTTCGATATTATTCATACGACTCATCAACAAATTCTCGTCTTCAAGATTCGAACCAGCCAACATGGGAGTTTGTCTTCCGCGCAACGGTAACGGTAAAAAATATTTAGCATAACTGAGTAAAGTAAACGTGACATTCAACGGGAGAAATATGACTTGCATCATGCTTCGTGGCAAACTCAATGCCTGATCCTCTTGAAGTCTGTATGCGATAAAACTATCGTACTCGCGTAACTTTGATTCGAGAAAAGCGAATCGTTCTTCTGAGTAATTTCGAAGATATTGTTCTTTTTTCTCATATTTTCTCACAGCTTTATTCAACTGTGAAATAGTTGGCTCGAGTCCAGTTCGCACATGATCCACGTCATGTTTCGTTGCAAATCCACGGCGTAGTTGTGAGAACTCGTATTCGAGATGTTGTACTCGTCGTTTTAAAAGTTCTACTTCGGTGTTTGGATAGTGAACTTGTTCTTGCAAATGAAGCGTGCGATTCTTTGCTAGACTGGCAACATGCATCAATGGACGAATACCGGAGGCAAATACGAATAAGGAAATGTTGAAGTGAGATATATACTTGTCATAGTCTGTCAGATATTGTTTGGCGTAGTGTAGTGCAAGTCCACCAAACATTGGTGACGCTATAACCAAACCAAGCGCATATAATTCGGCGCGGCGTAATTCACGCGCTGCCATTGCCCGACGAACTTCCAGAGCAGAATCTGCAGTCTGCCCTGCAAGCGCATTTTCATTAATCACGCGTCTGGATCTTGCCGCATAATAAAGCTCCCATGGAACTATCATCATAATAAGTTATTAATATAATTGAAGTGAACCAATGAAATGGAAATTATTAAAAAATCAAATACCTTTTATAATGTTATAAAGATAGAATGCAATTAAAAGCAGTAAAAGAAAGTCACTCCAAACATCTGATTTTCCGTACACCAGCGCACCCATGGGAGGTATGATAGCGAACAATATCGGCCAACTGTAAGCATGAGTTGAAAAAGAATCACTAGTGACATCACGAAGTATTTCAACAGGTGGTCCAGCAGGTAAATCACGACTATTTATACCACCATTTACCGTTCGTTCTCGGAGTATTTTACGTTGTTCACCAACACCAGCACCACGCGTCTCACTACTGAGGGACGACACGCTGCTAGGTCTACTGTTATATAGATGGCTTCGGTTGTTGTTGGAGGCATTATTACTCGTATTATTATTACTCATATTATTATTAGTACTATTGGTATTAGTATTAGCTTTAGGGTTGTTAAGGTTATTTACTACTGTTGTGGTTGTTGCTGTGACGGTTGTCGTTGTGGTGGTACCATTGCCTATTGAAGGTGTTTGCGGTCGAGGTAATGACATTTTGCGTTGCTTTTTTTTTTGCTTGTGGTTTTTTTTTCGTTAATTAACGAATTACGCAAGTTCTTTGGTCGTAATAAAAGTAGTAGTAGTAGTAATAGCAATAGCAATAGTAATCTTAATAATAAATACAGTAAATAGATATTTTTGGTTATAAATATATTAAACGCACTACTTCGATGATACGAAGCAGTGGAGACATCAAATTTTAATTTATATGAACAAGCACTTTTATAATGCTGGGGGAAATATTTCGGGCAGAGAATTGGACAAACTGACAAACATGACCATGTCTGTGTATAACTCGAAAGTATGGAATCTTTTTTTGCTAACTATTTGGGTAACAGATCTATTAAAGGATCATATCATATGAGATTCACACCATTCGACAAACATAAATGAATTATCATTGTTGGTGATTTTCTTTTGATGATATATTCGAAATTTTTGGTTCTTTGTTGTCGTGGATAAATATTATATTCTCTTCTATAGTTTCAAGGTACATGTTTAAGTTTCAGAGTGTAAGAGTGTAAGAGTGTTAAAACATCAACAGACAAAAATTCAGTGTTTTCACGCGCACGTTTTTTATCTTTCACTAGACAAATAAGGGGAAATGTACAAACAATATTATTTGTGCCTTTCAGAAAAACTTGCGAGACTAATTATCGAATTAACTTTTAATTTGACGTCTCTTCTGTTTGAGGCGCTGCATTATATTTTATGATCAATAATGTGGCGTTATAGGTATGCAGAGAACATCCATTTTTACTAATGCTTCTTTCTTTACGTTGTTATAAATTTTTAGTGCTATTAAGTGACGGATTTTTCGTCGCGCGAAATCGGTCCTGGTGCTTGTAGTAACAATCCTATCTCATAGATAATAAATATTTAGCTCATCTTCATGTACGTTTTCTCTTATATAGTGAGATCGAGCATCAATAAATCATTCAAATCAAAATTCTATAATGTTAATTATTTGTTATGCAACTTTTTATTTTATTAAAACTATGATTTTTCTTGAAAGTATAGCCTCTAGAAAATATTCAGATAAAAAATAAAGAATTAAGATTTGTGATAGCTTATTAATCTATTTATTTATTAAAATTACCAGTTAAAAAAAAAGGAAAACGTAAATCATGAAAATAGTGGCGTTAATCAGTGGTGGTAAGGACAGTTGCTTCAATATGCTCCATTGTGTAGCTAACGGTCATGAAATTGTGGCGTTGGCAAATCTCAAGCCGCCAGATAATAAAGGCAAAGGTCTATACAAAAAGTCTAAATTTTTATTATACATTTTTTCGCATGTAATTTAATAACAAATTATTTGATATATATATACTTAGATGAAATTGATAGTTATCTCTATCAGACAGTTGGCCATGACGCAATACAATACTACGCCGAGTGTATGAATTTGCCGCTTTATCGTCGTGAAATACTTGGTGATCCATTAGTAATCGCTTCTGATTATAGTTCGATTACGAGTGGAGATGAGACTGAGGATTTGTACGAGTTGTTGAAAGATGTTAAAGTGGGTTTATTGATTTATCATTAAATTGACGGATCAAAGAAAAGAACAGAAAGGATAAAAAGTTGATTTTTTATTAATAAAGGAAAAGCATACAGATATCCAAGGAGTGTCAGTTGGCGCTATTCTTTCGAATTATCAACGAGTTCGCGTTGAAAATGTGTAAAGGTTTATTTTTTATTTGCTCTTTTTTTATCGGTCGTTGATATTTTGTTTTCCTGAATTATTGATTTTAAGACAATTATTATGAATTTTATAATTTTTTAGATGTAATCGTCTTGGTCTGATATCATTAGCATTTCTATGGCGAAGAGACCAAAAAGAGCTGTTAAAAGAGATGATTGAAACCAGGGTTGATGCTATTTTGATAAAAGTTGCCGCTATTGGTAAAGTTAGTTAATTTTCCTGGATGATTATTGTTATAAAGAATAAAATAAATCATCTTCAAAAAAAATATGGTAGGACTGAAACCGTCGCATCTTGGAAAATCTATTAGTGAGATGTATCAGCATTTATGTTATTTGGTCAGTGTGTTTTTGATAGCTATCTTTTTGGGGTGTGAAGTTTGTAATGTGGAGTTGACAGATTTATAGCATCAATAATATTGAATCTTTTTAACTGCTGTTTAAATTCAGAATGAAAAGTATGATGTCCATGTATGTGGTGAAGGTGGTGAATATGAGACGTTTACCCTGAACTGTCCTTTATTCTCGAAAAGAATTGTTGTGCAAGTACAAGCATAAAATAAATTTCTTTATTGTGATTTAATTTATTTTCTTTAAAATGATCTAATCTATCTATATTATAAAAAAGAGAGGAAACAGAAACAATTGTTCATTCAGATGACGCATATGCACCTGTTGCGTATCTTCGACTGAAAAAAATTTTGCTCCAAGAGGAACAACAGGAACAGCAACAATCATCCCTATTGTCTTCCTCGTCATCGTCGGTCGAAACTACGCAGCAAAGCCCTTCATTATTGAATATTCCATCGTGGGAAAAAGAAATTGGGAATATGGTGGATTTGTTGGAAAGCTTTGTATGTTGTTTACGATTTATGGTTATTTACGAAGTTCAAAATTTTTCTTCGTAAAAATTGACTATTAACCGTTGATTTTTAGGTTCCATCGATAGATATCAATAATACTAATAATAATGATGAAGTAATAATATTGAATCGTATTGTGGATTTCTCGAAGGACGAATCGTCGCCAATTGCAACAGGTGTAGTCTCAAAATAATTAGCTACTTTATTAAATTGTTTTAATGAGATATATTTGTAAAATACTAATTAATTTTATTTTATTAGACGCCAATTCTTTCTTTAATTTTACAACACACAAAAATGCACCATACTTCTCCATATCAGGGACAACAGCCTATCACGATGGCTCCGTGGTTGCCGATGACTCTAATACTCATTTCGTAACAATTGAGGAGGAAACTCGTTGTTGTATGCTCAAACTACAAGGTATGTTTTTTCGAGATCAATATTTGTTTTTATGTTCCGATTTAAATAACTAAATATTTTGAAAAATAAAACCAGACCGATTATCCGAAGTAGGATTAAATTGGTCTGACGTTGTCTCCATGAATTTGTGCATCACGAGAATGAGTGATTTCTCACGCGTGAATTCGGTGTACAAGTCTTTTTTTGCGGTGAATCCGCCTACTAGGTAATTTATTAATATGATTTTATTTAGTAACGTATGAATCTTTTATATCCAATAGTTTTATTGTCAATTTAGAGCATGCGTCGGTGCTAATTTGCCACCACCGGCGAATGTCCAAATAGACCTAACAGCAATAAAATCCACAAATGATACCACCTTATCCTCATCTGAATCCGCTAGACAAGTGATGCATGTACAAAGCTTTTCATATTGGGCTCCCGCGAATATTGGACCATATTCTCAAGCGATAATCGTGAGTTTGGAATAAATTCACTGTCTTATTATCATTTGTTTGAATTTGTATTCAATTAAATTGTTTGCCAATCACAGACCCACAATCACGTATATATAGCGGGACAAATCGGTCTAATTCCATCATCACTAGAACTTCCATCTCTCAATAACATCAAGGAACAAACCAATAACGAAACCGATTCGTTATTGTTGTCTTATGAAACTGGATTATCACTTCGAAACCTTGAAAAGATCAGTAGTGCGCTCAACGAGGACGTGAGACGAAATACCCTACTATGTATTTGTTACGTTGACGACGAAGGTGCTTTTCCATTGGTGGAAAAAGCTTGGAATGTTTTTTGTGGTGGGTTTGATCTTTGTCGTCGGCAACGAGGGTTAGAGTACACTGGAGATAGTGATGGTAAAGAGGAAGAGGGACAAATTGCAAAGGTCATTTTGTTTATTTTCTTGGTCCTTTCTCTAATAAACATTTTATCCTAATTATTTAATAAATATTACAGGATGATGACGACGTACCTAATACAAACACAGCAAAAACTACAGCTCCCGTACTCTATGTACAAGTTCCCTCACTACCACGCAATGCAAAAATTGAATGGCATGCACTATTACGATCATTAGTCACTAATTCCAAACAAGAAAAACATCAATATTATAGCGATGAAAGTGAGCCTAAAACCAACGAGCAAACTTTATGGCAGAACATTTTGACCTATAACAATGACGAAACGACGATGACAACCATCATTTCAATTACTTCACGGTTCTCAAGGCCTGTTTTTTCGAGTGTTTTTACCGTGAGGATATCTGATAATAAAAAAACGGCTACTGCTACTACCAATGATTCATCAGGTATGGAATTAATTAGTCTATTAAATAATCTTTCGTGTTTTCTAAATATTTCATCATAAATATTAAAAATAGATTATGGAGTATCGTCATCATCAATTCCCATCCCATCAATAATCAAAAATCTTGTATCGTCTATTTCCGATGAAATTCATAATCATCAAAATCACCAAAATGATTATCACAGTAATGAAAAGGAATCCACCTCACAATACCAGCCATGGACAAAAGTTATTTCAGTTCGAGTCTTCTATTCAGAAAAGTTTATCGCTGCTGGGCATGGTGTGATTTTAGAAAGAGGTAATTGATTTATTTTCTCGCATGTTTCATTTCAGCAATCTTTAAATTTTAATTGCTATTCCCAAATTCCCAAAAAAAACCAACATATCAGTTTTGAAAAGGGAACTAACCAACCAAATCACCAAAGACAAAAGACGACAAGATAATAATAATCCCAATTACGCATCCAATCTGGAACCCAATCCTATTCCTGAATTTAATTTAGATGCTGTGCCAGCAATCACATTAATTCCAGTATTGGGAATAATGAATAATTCTATGCTGGGTGTAAGCCTGCACGCTGTTTTCTGATAAAGTAGTATCAATTGCACAGATATTACTAAAATATATTAAAAATAACTTTCCATCATATATACTAATTATTTCCGAATTCAACGATGTCATTAAATTACACAGATAGTTAATAATTAAGTGGATGCTAAAAAATATATTGACATTAAAAATTAATTTGTCAACATACCGCCATCAATACATACATTAAATGTAACCCCTATACATTTGTTCATAATTAATTTCTTTTTATCTCATACGTCTCATATCTTCAGTCAATTCTCCTCGTGCTTCTAATCGCTTTTTGGCTTCTTCCGTGGCCCAAGTTCTTAAACTATGAAGCAATCGTGTTAAAAATTAGAATAGTAACGAATAGAGAATATCCCAAAATACCTTGTATCCGGTGCATAATACTTTAAAATAGCACCGATCACAAAACTCCCACCGAATCCATATACCCAGATGTTTTCCCACTCTTCCTTTACACGTTTTTGACCTGGTGGTAGAGGCTGTGTGAGTGAGAACGTGTTATAAATTTGCAATTTTATTTAAAGTGACATTTAGTGTGGAAGATGTGAACAGATTTTTATTTAATTTTCATGCCCAAAATAAAATTAAAAGATTGAATTTCCATTTTTATCCTTGATAATATCATTATCTCCCAAAAACCAGACATTAATACTACTCGAGATTATTTATTAGAATAAAAAGTATAAAACGTGCTCACTATGCCTAAAACCTATTAATAGGCAGAAACACAGAAAAGCTCCGAACACAATGTTTCTATCTAATATCTCACGCTTTCTTCTATTTCTTTATCTAAAATGTCCATCTAACCTTTTCGCCAAACAAGTATCCAGAGGGTTCATTCCACTCAGGCTCATGGTGAATTCCTCCTCCGCTCCCACTTCGAAAGCTTGTGTAAGAAGGTAACGCTAAAGAGACGCGTTTTGTTAACGGGAAGAGCATAGAGGCTCTTTTTGCTTTTATAATTCGTAAAGACATATTTATATTTACAAGAAATATTGCAAATTACATTGACGTGATCGTAATGATGTAATAATTGATTTTCTTTGCATGTCCTGAATCTGTGCCAGGTTTTGTACTGGCAAAACAAAAAACGCAAAAAATACGGGAAACAGATGCCTAAATCTAGCTTGGAGCACTAACCAAAAATGTCGGGAAGGCAATTTTATATAGTCCAGGAACTCTTAAATCGACAATATGTTTCATGTTAAACATTCTATCAACTTCTTAACTAAGAAGCAAATCCAAAATTTGACCGGTAATATTATCAAGAAGTCCTTTTCTATAATATTACCCGGTTAAATTTTGTATTTACTTGTCGATTTAAGAGTTCCTGCACCATATAACCTATCTCTCAGCCTTCCATATGACTAATCAGACATTAGAGAGAGAAAGATTGCAGTTATGGAGAGTAATATATTTAAAGGTCTTCTACATTAGACGAAACCAGAAAGCATTCTGTTGTTGCATTTTGTATGTTAAAAACTGTATCGATTAATATGCAAAGAATTGATACTGGATACTGTCAACTCTAAATACAACTTTCATAAGCTATTAGCAGCTCCTCCGCAGCAACAGCAACAATTACCAAATCCTCTTCCCCCTACTGCCAATCCTCAACTACCTTCACTTCTACCACAACCAATTCCCCTAGTACTCGTCGAAATACACGCCTGCTCCTCTTCTAGTTACTTTTTACGCTCTCCCCGTTCAACAACTTGTTCCGGGACTCCTTATTCCCGACCTCCCGTTTAAAGATGGGATCGCAATTAGTTGCAACTTGGTCACAATTTTCTGATTGGCTGTCGCAATTAATCGTAATTAAATCGCAATTCTCTGATTGGGTACCGCAAGTCGCAATTAATTGAGACGCCATCTTTACTCCCGTTCACACCTCTTTCTTCACGCACTGTTACCTGTGGCTACCGGGCACAACAGACGTCGCCACCACTAGTTCTTTTTTTAATCGCACATCCTTTATTCCCTTCTCATTACCCTCCCTTTATCATTATTTCCCTCCATTCTTTCGATCTTCCCTTTAATCATCGAAATCCGTCCTTTTTCGCCTTATCCAACTTGACTTTAAAGATAACTATAGTTGAGGAGGAGAGAGTCCGCCCATAAATCATTATATATCTTTTTTTTATTTAGTTGTCCAACTCAACTAATAGTGCTAATTCAACTTTATTAATAAGAGAGGAATTTCTTTATATTCGCCTCCCCTTGTATCATCACTACCGCTTTCCCGCTCTTGGAGGCTATTCATTATCATCAACGTAACCACATTCACTATACTCGAATTGGTTTGGCAAAAGACTGAACCGGAAGATTCTTTCACTAAAAAATCGCGCACCGAAAATTAATGTCTTTTCCCCCAGAATTTTTAATATTCGGATGAAGAAGATTAAAGAAGAACCAACTCATGCAGGAGAGATTTGCCCCATGCGTCAATGAGATCAATTATTTCGAATTGAGAAAACAATAAAATAAACACGAAGAGCGTCTGTCAAATAGTAAGAACTAACGTCAACACTAACCCTAATTAGGAAATTGCATTTATATCTGAAAATGCACAGGAGGCTAGAGTAACAAGTAGAGGGACCATTGGTTAAAATCTTCAAGAGCCTCAATTTTCGAATCTAGATTCGAGTAAGTTAATAGTTAGCTATTTGGCACTAATAGATAGATGACTTGATAAAGTAGTCATATATCATCTTCACAATGATCTTTGGAGAGTAAGAATGTGACGATTCAAATCAAGAAAAGTTAAACCTAGAAAATGTTTATTTAGTTTAGGATTAAAGGTTCAAACGCTAAATCAAAAGTGCAACTACTGCCGAAAGAGAATATTTTCGAAATGTATTCATACATTCATTCAGAAATAAAGATTTGTCAAACGAGAAAAGATCACATCGTAAGGAGCGAAGATATTATTTGTCAAAATATATAGTATTGTAGTTATGTAAGGTAAATAAAATTGTTCTTGAGTATGAGATATTGAGCCCTGCATATCACGCAAAACGCAGAACAGTTTATTATACGCGCGTATTAAACTAGCTTTCAAGTTTGAAGTTACTATGTAAACGTTGGTTTTTTATATATCGATTCTGAACATTAATGAAGAAGAAACTATCCCCTAAACAATTGCCCTGTAATTAGAAAGTCTGTACATAATAAATTAGCTTTATCATCTCGAATTATTATATTATTATTATTATTCGTAACGGTAATAACGCATTCAAGGATGAGAATCTATCATAACTATGAACAGATCACGTGGCACAAATTTTTTGATCACTGCCAATCCAATATAATCTTCCTTGAAGATCACACATCCAAAGTTCCTCTCTCTTCTCTTCATATCATCCATCCTTCCATCCTCGTCTGCTTTTCGCGACACTACAGAAAAATGAAGGATATCTACAAGGATGTTACACTCACCGTCCCAGATGGAGTTTCGATCGATATCAAAGCTCGACTCATAAAAGTGACGGGTCCGCGCGGTACTCTGACAAAAAATCTTCGGCATATTGACCTCGAGATTCAAAAAGTCAAGAAGAACCTGATAAAGCTCATTGTCTGGCACGGTGGGCGTAAGCACATCGCATGCTTGAACACTGTAAAGAGTCATATTGAAAATCTCATTACTGGAGTTACAAAAGTAATTCTTGTGTTTAATGAATTCATATCTTGTCTCAAATGATACTTGTGATTTTTGGAAATTGTTTCTTTACATAATTAATTAATTGAATAATTATTCGATCAATATATTGATCATTATTAATGACAAACAAAAAAGGGATTCCAATACAAAATGCGATACGTCTATGCACATTTTCCAATCAACGTGCACATAATCAATGACGGGCGAGAAGTGGAGATTCGTAACTTTTTGGGTGAGAAGGTGATTCGTCGCGTGAAAATGTTGGATGGTGTCAATATTGAGATTTCAGCCGGTCAAAAGGATGAATTGATATTGACTGGTAATGATCTCGAGAATGTGTCACAGTCAGGTAAGGTTACTTTTTCCTTTAATTTTGTGAGAATGGAATTATGAATTATCTAACAATTAATATTTATTATTGATATTTATTTTACTAGCGGCAAATATCCAACAATCGACCACCGTCAAAAATAAAGATATTCGTAAATTTTTGGACGGTATTTATGTTAGTGAACGTGGTACTTTTATCAAAGACGAGATTTAGATTCTTATTACTTTGTCTGTATAAAAAATTATTACTATTATAATTATTGTTATTATTATTCTTCTCAACTACGATACTATCTATCGCCAGGTTCTTTAAATGCTATTATTACTTTTATTATTGCTCTATAATTTCTACTGATGTGAAGATTATTCGTAATGTAATTAATCACGTAACTTGTTCCATTTTGGTTCCAAAAATCACAGAATTTAAATGGGCCAAAAAATCGATTTCTGACCACTTGCAAAAAAATACGTGATTCTCATAAGAAACGTCATTTGCTAAGTGATTTATTGCAATAAAGCAAAAGTTACGTTTTTGATTATTTTTGATGGACTTGCAGGTATCCTTAACGTTAATCAATATTACAAATGTTAGATTTTCTGATTTTTCTTTTGTTCCCTTATTGGTAATTTCTGTTAATTTAATTTTGAGAGCTAACCAGATAGAATAGAAAATTTTTCTATCATATCAACCAAAATACCTTGTATTTTTTAATTCTTTATAATGTGTCACGATCAGTTTCGACATTTGTTTTATCAAATATTCCATATTTCTTTCGTTGATATAAATTCTACAAGGACTGGTAAAAACCATAAACACATAAATTATAGCATTTGAATGAATCATTATTATAATTATTATTACTACTCTTCCATGCATACAGATTAAATTATTATTAGTAATATTACAAGCTTGATTGTCTAAATAATTGGATTTCCCACTCCAAAAATAATTCTCGAACCAGCCGAGAAGAAATTGCAGCCACTCAACATAAATAAATAATTAATTAATATCTATAAATATATTGTACCGAATTTGTCTAATAAATAATAATTCACACAGAATGGTCATCATATCCGAACCCTGAATTTCTAAGACGTACTCTCCTGCATAAAATATATCGTCCTAACTATAAAAAATAACTTGATTTAAAATATGTATATAGGAAACAATAGTAACAAAAAATTAAATTAAACTGTACACACCAACACAAAAGCACGCACAATTCTCCTTAGCCGCCTCTGCCAAGAATTAGTATAATAGGGTCTTCGCCATGGGTTCTCATCATCCTCATCTTCATAATGACCACTGTAATATTTACTTTGTTGTTGATGACTAAGATATTCCATCGTCGACATATCGTTGATATCTTAAAATTCCAACGCGAAATAATAAGCAAATTTAATAAATAATTGCAATATGAAACTCAACAAAGGCACATTAAAAATAATAATCATGCTTACAAAGGTTAAAATGGAAAAAGCATAAGTAGAATAGGAATATGGCAGCTCCAAGACTTAACAATATTAATAATACATTAACGAATAGTCCTACAGCCAGAACATATGATGTCGTGAGCGGAAATATTTCATATACTATATATGATAGAAATAAACGATTGTTATTTTTATTATTCAAATTTATTATTCTATCAATAGATATCAAAATTTTAACTTACATTTCGTCATATATTGCTCATCTCCTCTTTCAGAGAAATAAATTGCTAAAGCATGAGCGTTCTGCCAGAAACTCAAAATCGTCCCAATAAAGCCAAAAATTAAAAACGTTACAAATGAGCTACCAAATATATAATGTAAGAAATTTAGAATAAATAGTTGCGCTGGTTAAATTTTGAAAATAAGATTAAGATTTCTACCGATAATTAGACTCCGCTATACAACAGTTTAACCACCGACAATGATGATCACGTTTCGCGACACACTAAAAAATCAAATCAAAAAAATTAGTTATTTATATTTCTACAGATAACCATACCATTAATTATTCATACCTTATTACACAATTTACAATGACGAGTAGTATTAGCCCTATATAATTCTATTAGAATTAAATAAAATAAATTTGATAAAATGAAGAAATCAGGGGCCTAATACAATCTCTAGACTCACACTTCAACTAGACAAATATTACACCAGCCATCAACCACAACTTGAATTCCCATTGTTCTCCGATACAACATATCCCTTTTTACACTTTTCTCTTTGACTTTTAAATCTTCCGTTTCTGTTAATGAGCATTTGATACTCGAAATTGAAACCACAGCGGCAATTATTAACACTATCGCGTTCCATATTCGTTGATGAGTAATTTTGTATTCGTGCTTCGTTATTGAGTAATAAACTTGTTCTTCCATAAATAGCATAGTGAAATAGTAATAACCAAAAGCTAGGGTGAAATATATTATCCATTGTATTATAAGACAAATGTCAATAGGTGTGTGAAAGCCATGTGTTCGACGCCATGAATTCGATGTATTTTCATGATGTGCTTCTATAGATATAAAACAGCATTTTCCAGTAAAAGCAGAATCAGAAAAAGTTGTTCCTGTCTTTGAAGAAGACGAAAGTTTTGAATATTTCGGCGAAGACAACGAAGTAGTGAGTGCGTTAGAAAATAGGCGAGAAGCAACCATGGGTTATATTGCCAAAAGTAATAATTCTTCAAGTAATTCCAAATAATAACTTGCAAAGTTGTTTTATTAACAAGCAGGTTACTGGAAAGATTATAAAGAACACAAACAATTCGACTAACATTTTTTGTATTAGTGTGTTTACGATTTAACCAATAGGCCTATTGATCAATTGTATAACGATTGTCGTCAAAGATCTTCATGATCGCACAACTCCACATTACCATTTACCGTTACCGTTACTCTTTTGATCTTTCTTAACTCTTACCCGCAAAATGAAAAAGAAGGTAAATAGCTTTTATATAATTTGTTAATGAATTTCAGAGAAATAAATTTAAGTTTCGTATAATCTTTGTACTAATACAGGTTCTATTAATGGGCAAAAGTGGGTCTGGAAAGACCTCTATGCGAAGTATTATCTTCTCGAATTATATTGCTCGAGATACTAGGCGTTTAGGAGCAACAAGTAAGATGATCTACCTGCATCTCAGCGCGTATCTTCTTTTTCATTTTTGTAATCCCCTTTGTACTTTATAAATTGATAATAGTTGATGTAGAACACTCACATGTTCGCTTCCTTGGTAACCTAGTTCTGAACCTTTGGGATTGTGGTGGGTGAGTAAAAAGTTCAGTATCCAGATTAATAATCATTAGAATTCTTTATCACTTTCACCATTAATTAAACATTGGAAATTGATGTTTTTCGAATTTACAGGCAGGAAGCGTTCATGGAAAATTATTTTGCCGCACAAAGGGATCACATCTTTCGAAATGTTGAGGTATTAATCTACGTGTTTGATGTAGAATCGCGAGAAATCGAAAGAGATATGCATTATTATCAAGATTGTCTTGAAGCAATATTGGCGAATTCAAAGGACGCAAAGATTTTTTGTTTGATACATAAAATGGATTTAGTACAGGAAGAAGTTCGAGCTAAGGTAGTGATTATTATATATTATTCTATTAGTATTTACTAATGAAGTTCTAACATAGATTTTCTTATTGATTAATAAAGATATTCAATGAACGATTTAGCGAGTTAAAAACTAGATCAGAACCACTGAAAATATCAGCATTTGCCACTTCGATATGGGATGAGACATTATACAAGGTAATAAAAGTCACGTAAGGTTCGGATTATTAGAATCACTAATTTTCTTAATATTCTCGATTATCATCATTATTCAATATTAGGCTTGGTCATCAATAGTATATTCATTGATTCCAAATGTGCGATTGCTTGAAAACCATTTACAAAATTTCGCAACAATATGCGAAGCGGATGAAGTAGTGTTATTTGAACGAACCACATTTTTGGTGATATCTCATTCTACGAGAATCGAGCATCCGGATATACATCGATTCTCGAAAATCAGTAATTATATTAAACAGTTTAAATTGAGTTGTAGGTGAGTGACCGAGTGATCTTGGTGAACAGAACATCGCCATTTATTATTACGAGTTTTGTTAGAAAATTCTCACATAATTTTCTGTCATTTCTCGCAGCAAATCACAAGCTCAGTTCAAGAGCATGGAAGTGCGCCAGGCTAATTTTGCCGCGTTTTTTGATATATTGACTGCCAATACGTATGTCATGGTTATAATGTCTGATCCTACTGTTGGTAAGCTTCTTAATCTTTATTTTTTGGATTCGTTTTTTATGCTGAATATGACCTAATAAATATGATCATTAGAATCCGCTGCTACACAAATGAATATTACAGTAGCACGAAAACATTTCGAAAAATTAGAGACGTCTCATATGACGCGATAATAATCATCAAAAATCCATTAAAAAGCCATTAGAAAAACAGCTTAATATTCATCCATTATATTATTATTATATTACTGTTATGTGCATTAATGTTATTAGGTGGAAATCTGAACTTTTGTACTATAATTTTTATTGTGATGTATAAAAAGAATAAGTTATTATTTTATTAATAAATTGTGTCCTCTCGTCAGCGCTGTGTGTCAGAATAACAATACAAATTAATTTTCTTGAAGATTCATAATAGGCAAGATTGGTACGATGGAGAATAAATCATTCACGTATTTTTGAAATGCGAAACTTCAAAGTTCTAAGCATATCCGAAGATCTGTACAAGAAATGAATTTGATCGTGGCATTCAGACCAATCCTCTGGCGTTGGGTCCTTCATACAATATTTTTCACATCATTCCTTTCCAAGATTCCACGCATATTGCTTATTTCGCTATGCGCAACATCCTTGAAATCTATTCAACTTGTTTATCGGTCAGTTGTGAGATTTTTCCGAATACTTCTTCGGAACAAACAACCAAGATTGCTTCATTGCTGTGCAAGTCTCTACATGTGTTTAATTAATCCCAAAGACAATTTTTAGCAGTGGTCCAATAAGAGGTTAGTGAAACTCGTTTTGAGATCTTTTAGATCTTCGAGTTTTTCTTTTGTACAGAATGCCATTCTTTCAAGTTTTGCTTTAGACCTCTAGCCGAAAGTATTTCTAATAAGAAAATATAGCCTCATTTCAAATCAGCAGCCAGTGCGGACATTCTAAATTTACCTCGATTGGATTGAAATCCTTAATCTGTGGCAAAAATTCGTCGAGTCCATCGCATAACCTCTGAAGCCAATGATGCGTCTTGCCATATTCGATTCGCAGAGATTTATCTTATCCATCTTGATTTCGGTGCAAATTGCATTCGTGATTTTTTCGACTTTTTTGATAACTTTCCGAGCAGTATCGGTTTGACCAAGTTAATATCTGCCGATTTGTAATACTGCGAGGTTTTACAGAAATTAAATTACTAATGACATCGTAGTTCACCACGATACCCTCCGTGGCCAATGTGGCGGGCATCTTATAAGCGACATACAAAATTTTCTGTTGAAAATCTGGGTTTTGAGAATTGACTGTGCTCTGACCTCCTTTGATTGTTTCATTAAATGAATTCACTGTTTGTTCAAGTTGGCCAGTATCTTCAATGCTTTTCATATAATTTTCGTGAGATTGTTTCACCTTCTTCGAATAGTTGGCTACGTTTATTTTGGTCACGTCTCAACTCTCCCGCATCTTGAGATGAATTGATCCTGATTCGTTAGGCCAAGGCAATATCTACAAGTGCATTTCCATTTCCCTTCGCACCATTTGCTTCGAGATCGAATTTGTCGGCAGCGAACATGTTGCAGACAAAATTCTTTTAACCTTGGAGTCAAGCTGATTAGCGGCTTGCTGGTTTAATTCGAACAGCGACTCATCACGGTGCAATTTTTCAATCCTAGATAGATTCGTTAAAAACTCATCATGGATTAGATCTGATTGATTATAATTCGCTTCAAGCTTCTCGATGTGACTTTTGATGCTTTTGTTCACTTCGTTCCGGAATGGTTTAAAATTCTTTGGAGATTTTGGACAATTGTTTGCATTGCATTCCACTTTTCAATTTCTTTAAAGTTATTGAAGTGAAGGAAACTGCCCCTGGCATTAATCATCTCCCATGTTGTTTTCATTTGTGCAATAAAGCCTGAATATAAAAATTGAATTTTATGTTCAACATTTGAAAAAGGACCATAATTACCATTGACATTATCAAACATTTTAATCTCTTGATCGTAAATCGAATAAAGAGCCGACGCAAGAGATATCGATAAGATAAGGAAACAGGTTCCGCAAAATTCCGTGTGAAGAGTTTTGGAGAGCACGTCCCACGCATTTCCTCGCTAGTTCCACCGTCAATTGTTCCGCGATAAGTTGAGTGGAATAAAAATCAAGCGGAATCGGCCTTCAAACCACAAAGTATAATAGATGATTCATCCATTTTTTTCGTTTAATAATTTTTTGTCAGTTATCCTGATAGGTTTAAACATTACCGTTTCATCGGTTTCGTCTCTCATTATTAAAAAAGATCTAAATCGTTACTAAAGAATAATATTTTGATTGTTCTTTATTCCTAACAGGATCCGCTGCGGATTCTAAAGTGTATAGAATATAATCCATATATATATATATATATGGGGCAAATTTTTTGAGATCACCTTGATATTATAACTACTATAACCAACGTTTGTATTACGCACAAACGTGGACGTAAACGCGTAAAACGTAAAAATATAACGTAAATAATTTCTCAATATTATGAGGAATCTTACTTTTTATTGGCTAATCAATGTATAACGCAAAAATTGAACATATGATGTCGATCAATTTAAAAAATCGATGTAATCAAGTCTCGACCAAAGCACTCAAAGTCTGGATCTCCGCGAACAAAACGATATATAGAATGTGGAAAAATAACGTCTCCCTGTAGAATACAACGCCTTCGAAATCGGCGTCCATTTTGTCTACTTTTGCTTGATTATTCTCCAGTTCGCAAATTCTTGCCATGAAAAAGTGGTTCAAGGAAAACTGGTTTTTTACTATGTAAATCACTTCATTCGCTCATGAATAATATAATCGTGTGACTTAATAAAATTCCATACGGGAAGTCTACGGTACAATGCTAAATCACGTGGCCTTTGACAAGAAAATAAAAAATATCAAAATCTAGCTTGAGGTACTAATAAACAATGTCGGAAAAGCAATCTTACATATAACCTTATCCTCAGCTCTAACCCAACCCTAATCCAAACGATAAAATAACCTTTAACGTCAATTTTCCGTGATCACGTGAGCGTGGATTTTGGAAGGCCACGTGATCCTGCACTGTCCGAATTCCATAATATCCTCCAAAATGTGATATATATATTTGAAGTGTTTTACTGTAAAAAGAGGGTTCTACGTCGGAGCGTTGTGAGAGCTCCCTATTTTTCTGCTTTACGAATTTCTATTGGTCAGGTTTAATCCGGTCCATAACGATAACACATTTTGTAAATTCAAAATATTCGCAGATTCATCCGATTCATTTCTTAAATAAATAACGATAATTTCGAGTATAAATAAAAGTTATCTGCCACTCAATGGCAAACCGACAAACAATTTCCCTATTTCGAAATATACTTCGTGAAGTGAATCGTCAAGTTAATTATATATTTCTGCATTTGATCGAATCATTGAAGTCAACATCCAACTCGATTTATAATATAAAAAATTTGTTTCTATTCAGTTCACATCAATAAATAAAAATACACTATGGCGCGACGAATTATTTCAAGCGTTTCGTGAAAACAAAAATGTCAATGATCCCAACAAACTTACAGGTTTGATACGTGATGCTGAGGATGTGGTGACTTTTTTAAAAAGTAAACGGAAATATGGGGTATATTTTGATTACTTTGTATTATATACATATGGTGTACATCACAAATTCATAATATTATTAACATTTTTAGGAATTAATTAACCTTTATAATCCATCTAATGAGAATCGTATCGAAATGGCGGCAAATCGTGTTGGTCTACGGTTGCCTAATTCATATGACGGAAAAACGCACCAAAATTTACCAGATAATAAATTACAATGAACTAAACCGAAGATCACATTACATTGGAAAATGCTAAAATTCACGGTTTATAATTGAATACAAATAACACGTTTTCTCTCATTTCACTATATAAACATAATTAGTGTGAAAGACATTAATTTTTGACCTTCCCCTATCTTTGCTAAATAATTAAAATATTTCGTACAGAACACCCGAATTACTTATTTGATCAACAATTTCTTTTTCTCTTGCCAACGACTAAATTTTTTTATATTTCTGAAATTCCCCCTTCCCTTTAACTTTTTTAAATAATTTTACTTTTAATAAAATTAAAACATTGTGTATTATGATGGTATTTTATTAATAATCTATCCATCAAAAGAATTAAACATCAAAACTATGCTCTATACAATCACACCAACGGGAATAGTGTTTTTGACTGTAAGGAACGTGAATAGAGAAATTTATTTTATAGGCTGTAACTATGTAGGTGGTGAGTATATGAGTGCGACTATATACCTAATCGTCAAAACAACTTGCGTTTTGTAATTAGTCCATTTAAATAGAGGCTGAGACGTCCTTTTTTCGCGTTAATTCTTTTTAAACATTCTTTGAAAAAGTAATAAAGGGTCAAAAATTCACTAAATGCGTATAAAAGGGGATGTGGTGCAGTGGTAGCACGTTCGCTTTGCATGCGAAAGGCCCTGGGATCAAACCCCAGCATCTCCATATCTAAATTTTTGTTTAACGTTATTTTATTAGCAAGTATTGATTATTATTATATTTATTAAAAAAATATATACAAATTATATGCTAAGAAAAAAAATATGATAAAAATTATAAATTCTTAATTCTACGAATAATCGCACTTAACACTCGTGCTTGCCGTTGTTTTTTGTCTATTTCGGTTTGATTATCCAAAGCTCGATCACCAACACCATTGGAAGAGGCGACGCTCGTCGCTGCTCTAAACAAGTGAGCGAAATCTGAATACAAAGTCGCCGGTAAATCAGATTCCTTTGTAGTCAAAGTATCGTTTAATCTAGAGGACTGCTCAAATTTCGCTGCGACTTCTTCTGCTCGATCGACTACCACTCGAGGTACTCCTGCCATGCTGGCTACATTCATGCCATAGGATTTCGGACACACGCCAGAGACCAGTTTGTAAAGGAAGGTTACCTCTTTACGATCTTGGTCTACTTGGCAGCTCATATGTTTGAGTGCGATATTGGGGTTCTTTGCGAATTCTCGAGTCAGTGTACCATAATGTGTTGAAAATAAGGCGAGGCAGCCAATATGAGTGGCGAGATAATGAAGAACAGAATAAGCAATCGCGTATCCATCGAATGTTGAGGTTCCACGACCTAATTCATCAAGAATGACCATTGAGCGTGGAGTGGCCTCGTGAAGGATTTTTGATGTTTCTGTCAATTCTACCATAAACGTGCTTTGACCCGCCATAATATTGTCGTTGGCACCAATACGAGTATAGATTCGGTCGAAAGGTGTCAATACACATCGTCTCGCAGGTACGTAGCAACCAAGCTGAGCCATTATAATCGCAACACAATTCTACGATTTAAAAACTTCGGATTAGATTCAACATACTTTAATATTTGTTAAAGCAAATCAATACTCACTTGGCGTAATAATGTCGATTTGCCACCCATATTAGGACCAGTCAAAAGAATTACATTAGGTTCACAGTCTCCCAAAGATGTATCATTAGGAATAAAATCGGTAGCGACTCTAAAAAAGCAATAAATTGAGTATTTTTTTTCAATAAGTTTAAATATCTCGAATTATTTATTACCCTGATACAACACAAGGATGTCTCAAATCTTCAAACTTTAAGAAACTCGGTCCTTCCTCAACAAACTCGGGACGACAATAAGGTTCTGAAATATAGAAAATTCATATCTTAAAATTCCTCATATTGACTTTTCAATTGGAATATAAATTTCACATACCACCCAATGCAAATGAACTTTTAGTTAAACTTAACAGACAATCTATTTCAGAGACGACTTTAACTGCAGCCAACCATTCTTGATAATGGGCATCAAACTTTTCGTAAAATCGTCCTCGTAAAGACTTTAGAATACCAGTTTGTGTTTCTTGAGCTTCTTGAAGTTCTCTGATAAGTTTTTGTAGAGTTGGATTCCAATAACGATTTACAATCTAAAATTATATTTAAAAATAACTGTTAATCATATACGTATTAGAATTTAATAATATATCTTTAAGACATACCTTTGTGGATGATAATTTTTTCCAATCATCGGGCACACGGTATATATGGGGAATTTCAAGCTGATATATTTCTTTTCCGATATGTTTATATGTGACCTTTGATGGACTAGTTAAACGTGTCGATAGTGTTTTTTTTTTTTTTTTTAGGTTTGAGATTACATTAATTATGATCTATTTATCTTTACCTGTACCTGTATCTTGCTTTTACTTCTACTAAATAATTATCCAATTGCTGGATAATTTTTCGAATAGTCTCGTTTATCCTATCATAGTCGTTTTCGATTCCAGGATATGGAATTAAATTACCTGTTAATAGAATAGTCAATTAGTAACATTATGGGATCAATCGATACGATAAAATTATTAATACATGCCAGTAGTTTTGGCTTTTTCACAATCGAAAGCACGGTTGAAATAATCAAGCTTTGAATTTAGGTCGGGAACAATCTCAAATAGTTGCAACAGCTTTTGAGACTTGAAATCTTTTATATATTTATTGAGGTCTTCGAAAGCAGTCTAAAGGAAAAAAAGCAAGTTAATAATAATCTGTTATAAAATCCGTAAGCTACGAAACTTAACTAACCATTAACTTTCTAAAAGCCGCCAAAACAATAAGAAAATTTTTAACGGAACAAGTTCCAGCATGAATTCTGCTTATTAGACGTTCAAGATCAGGAAATTGCATAAAGTATTGATGAAATTCATCTTGAAATCCTGGCGCGGCTCCCAATTCTTGTACAGCGTCCAGCCTTTCATTTATGGCTTTAGCATTTCTTAAAGGATGACATAGCCATCGTTTGAAAGTTCGTTTACCTTTTTGATAACAAATCAGTAGATTATTAAATTGACCGAAAATTATATTAGTAAAGATGGTTTAAGTGCCTACCGAATGGAGTAATACACCGATTTAATAATTTGAAAAGAGTTCCTTCTTCACTGCCATCAAAATTATTTTCAAATACTTCAAGATTTAGCAGCGTTTGACCATCCAGAATGAGCGAAGTTGTGTGCCGAATTGGATCATATATATGAAAATTGCCTAGAGATACTAAATCTGAATCGAGCTTAAGCTATTGTTGAATAAAAAACAGTTTAGATTCGATTTATTTAAAAAAAGCTTTTAGCTAAGAAGTTAAGCATACCGAGCGCAAATACCATAAAAGACCTATTTTAAAGATATATTAAAGGTTATGATAAAATATATATACGAATTCTAATGATTTGAATATCCTCAAAACTTACCACCCAAAGCAGACATCATCAAAGGTTTTTCTCGAGCTTCTTTTAATGCTAAAGGATGCGATTCTTTGGATGCAAAATTAAAAGCATATTAAATAAGTGAATAATTATTAATTTAAACAAGATCCATATAAATTTACATACCCATACTCTCTTCATAAGTTTCATTCACTTCCTCATCATTAATTTTATGTTTATTTGAAAAATAACCAGCAATTCTAATCTCATATAGAGTTGTCTCAGCATTCCAGAATTCATTATCAGGAGCAAGTCCATTCCATATTAAATTCGGTATTGAATTTTTAAGAGTACGATGCGAACGTTGACTCAATTTTCCCTGAAATAGGCAAAGAACGGGACGGGATATTAATTAATGGATAAAAGACTATACATGTAAAAATAAAAACATACCTTTTCAAATACAATTTCACGTGGCTTTAATTGCATTATCAAAGTCTCGAATTTAGTTCGACTAATATCATCTTTAAAAGAGGCGAGATTGAATTCACCAGTTGCTGTGTCAACAAAGCAAACGCCAAATTCAGGTAACTCGGTCTCTGATGTAATTTCTTCCTATTTATTGTTCAGATAGAATATAATTAATGCATTGAGAAAAAGTGAGTTTGATATCAAAAGTTGATAAAGTGTTTATAAACCTTAATTGAGAGACAATAAGTTCCCATATCATTGGTTAAAAGTCCATCTTCGACGAGGGTACCAGCCGTCAGGATAGAAGTTAATTCGCGACGAATAACCTTTTCCTCCTATTAAAAGATGAAGCCGAACAAGCATTGGTATGCCTTATCTAAATGCGCTATTGAAAAAGTATTTCAGAAATACCTTGGATTTAGCGGCCTTCTCACGCATCTCTTTGCCTAATGCTGTTTCCATTTGATCTACTTTTGCAACCTTGTATCTTTTGGGAAGAAAAATAGACGGATTCATCTCTTATACAAAATTAATTGATCTAATACGATTAATGTACCTACCCTTTAGCAATGAATTGAGCGGCCCAATGATCAAATGACATTTCAGGCACACCCACCATCCGCATATTTACACGGTCGGTAAGTTTAAGATCAAACTCTGTGTGACCAATATCGGCATCACGTTCATAAAGCTCTGAAAAACGCACGAAAATAATAAAATGTTATTTCCAGGTTAATACCAAACTATAGATAAAATATAAATTAATAAATACCATAAAATTTGCCTTTTTTGAAAAATACAACCTATTTTTATGAGAAATAATCAAAGATTAACATGATTTACGAAAATTTGCTATCCATGGTTATAATATTTACCGTATCCCAATGAGCAGACTTAATTTCCCAGAACTGTTTTTCGAAAGGAGTAAATTTTGACCAGGCTGATGGTGGGATGTAGAGTGTACGAGGATCATAATTGGGTGATCCTTCTGAATTTCCTTCGTTATCCTTGACTTTGAGCAACCAGCTGTATCGTTCTTCATTTTTTACCTTAAAATCGGCGGCTCTTTGCTTTAGAATATAATAATATCGTAAAATGCTATGAACTGAATTTAAAATGTTAAAAGTAAAATATTAGGATTTATACCTTTTTCTTTTCACTTTGAGTTAAAATTGAAGATGAGAAACTAGAGCCGCGGTTTGAAGTAGAACTTGAAGCGAATGCCTATTGGATAATCAAGATATTTGGTATATTTGGAACTCTAATGAAAAATTTTAGATTTAAATATTAGGGAACTAACGATATACCTTCAATTTACTTGGCGGGTTTTTATTCTGTGATACATTTTTGGTTGACTTCTTTTTGGACGAAAATGGTTCTTCGTCGTCGTCGTCGACAATAAAGTTATCGTCGTCGTCATCGACTTCATTCGACTCTTCCAATTCTAAAAAATACATAAGTTGTAATCTAAGACATATCGAATTCATAATTCTAATGTGTTTTAATAAAAGGCCAACCCAAATTATTTTCTTCTAAATCGTAATCAAGTTCACGAGGAGTAATTCGAGATGATATTCTTGGCTTTTTCTGTAATGGAAGTTTTTCTATCAAAATAAAAGCTCTATAAGAAAAAATAATATGAAGATGAAATTTTTGTCGAATTAGATTATAGACGCGGACTTGGAGTTTCGGCAAAGTCATCTTTATTGGCATCAGTTTTTTCCTCATCCTCGGATTCGATAAGGATCTTTCGCTTGCCACCAAGACGCTATTATACAAAAGATATAAATTTACACAATTAAAGTTTGATTATACCCTTAAATCGAGATATCTAGACGTATTTATCCACAAAGCTATTTAATTTACCGAGCTTCTTCGTCTGAAAATCATAGTCTCTTCTCCCTCTTCGTCCTCAACAGGCAAACTTTTATCATGCTCAGCAAATACATCTTTTACAGCACTCTCCTTAGGAGGTGTAATAAATTTATCGCGTTCGTTATAATCCTCTTTTACGGTGGTGTCCTTAGTAGGTGTTTTAGGGCCTAGAGAAGCAAGAGAGCTATCCTCGCTATTAAGGTCCTTACTGGGAGTAGGTAGCCCAGCTTTTGTCAGGAACGAAAGAATGGATTTTTGACCTTTGGATGTATCATTACGTCCTTTCTTTGACTCTTGTGCATTGTTAGACGACGCGTTATTTGAATGCGATTGAGCACCTGTTTCTCTTTTTAAGGGCGGCATCTTTAAAGTAATTAAATAAAACACAGTATCACACGAAAAAATATTCTCTTTTGAAGTAACAAGTTTTTTATATTTATGACTTTTGACGCGACCAAGTAGACAAAAGACAAAGGTGGGAATTCGCGTTCGCGTGGTAAAATTTTATATCATCTACATGCATTGGCCAGAATCATAATGATGCAGACCATAATGCTCGAATTAGATACAAGTTTGAGGCACAGTTTCTTTTAGCCAATAAGAAAAAGACACATACAATAAAACAAATGAGGCTTGCTTCAAGTGTGAACATTTCTGCACACCAATGAAAATTCGACACATTTTCCGACAAACAAAAATAAAAAAGCAAGACGAATTTCGTTTGATTAGTCGATTTGACCTCATTCTTGCAAACCTTACGCTCCTCAATTAAATTTTTTTCAACGATAACAGTAGCAATATTATTATTTCTTACAACTGGAGCAAACTGCAAACATAATACGCGAAAATTCTACGAGTCACCATGTCTTCCTCAGAAGCGTCCCCGTCGTCTAAAGACTTCAAAAATTCGCTGAACGAAACTGCCTGGGAGGAAGGCATGGTGACCCCGCAACAATTGTCAGTAACAGATTCAGCCGCCTCGCAACTCGACCCTGTTTCAATCTTCTATAGTGCAGCATCTATATCATCTACCAATGCAAACGCAACCCATTCCCTTGACGCCAAAAATGATATTTCAACGGAATTAGATGCTTCTGTAGCGCCAACAAACGATAGATTCTTCACATTTGAAAATTTGTTTGACGTTGAAGATTTGGGCGTATCGAGCTCGGTTACAGAAAACAATGACTTATTTTCTACTTCAACAGCAGCTGAAAATTTAAACAGAACTTCTACTGAATCAACGTCATACGTTACATCACCACGAACAATACAGCCTGTAATGTTAACAAATATGAATACTTCCGTTTCTTCACCCGTTTCCGAAAGTGTTACATCACCTGACACTCCTCAGTCTCCTGATGAAAGTACTAGTGGTAAAAAGAAACAAAATGGTGGGAGAAAGAGAAAAGCCGAAAGCTTGGAAGAAAAAGAAGCACGTGCTCGAGAGAGGTACTATATGAATATTTTTATATATAAATATCTGGTTAATGTTTTTTTTGAATGGATCCTGATAGTTTTCCATTTATAAATTTTAGAGTTTTGCGAAATCGACACGCCGCTCAGATGTCTCGTGATAAAAAACGACGACAATTAGCTGATCTGGAATCTCAAAATGCGTTATTAAAAGAAGATAATATTCATCTTTCAAAACGTATAAAACTTGTTGAAGAAGAAAATGTCGCATTATCTATCAAACTAGAAACGATATCAACACAACTTGCAGAAATACAATCACATTTAGCCGTATCCGAGGTGACCAAACTCCTACTTGACGGTGTTCGCGGATCAGCAGCATCCGCGACCTTGGAAAAAAATACTCTTGCGCTGAACGATGGTAAGAAGGAAAAAATAGCAATCAACATCAATACAACGAATGAGAAGATATTATTCCAACCTTCCTCTAGGTCCATCATCGATTTCACCCAAGAACCTTCCAAGAAGTCCCAGCAGCGGCACGTCAAGTTGAGGAACCTTTACGGGACGTCGACATTACCAATTCTTTCCTGTCCGATTTGGATGTTCCCTCCTCAAATACTGAATCGACTGTTGCTGACCTTCTCGATAGTTTTCTGGACTACGACTGGTCAGCCGAGGTTCTGTCTCCAATTCAACAACAGCAGAAAACGAATGGTATATGTTAATGATGTTGTCATCTCGGAGCTCGTCCATCGTTATCAACAGAGACGATGGTTGAGATCCGTAAAGGTTAAGCGTGGTCGCGGTGCTTCTAACTTGAAGCTCGTGCCTCGCGACTGGAGAAAATATCCACCATAATGAACATTTCATTTTTTTAGTTGCACATTTAGTAAATATCTTGTTAAACTGTATCATTTAGTAGTACTAACTAATCAGAATATATGTAGATAAATTAAAGATGATTGTAAGTATTTGATTTATTACTATCGATGTCAGAGTTGTAGGCCCATAATTTGTGTTATATATTTTTAATCGTCGCAGCGTCAATAATAACATTGCGCTTCTCAATCTTTTTCTTTTCTATTCTATTCAAATAAATTTATTAATTAAATACATTTTTAATTATTATTATTATTATTATTACATTTATACCACTTGAACTACGGTTGTCCAGCCTTTTCGCGTAATTCCTTTTTTCCCCCAACTATTAATTATAAGAATTGTTAAAAACAGAATGATCAAGTACATTGGCATTAAAATACTTACAGTTCGAGTAATCTATCAGGTTTCTTGTTTTGTTCACTGTATACTGCTCCTGGAAGCATAGTTTCTATAACATCATAAATAATTGGTGGTTTCTGTTCCGTCAACATCCCTTTGAAACAAAAAAATTACTTTTCGAGATGATGACTTTGTAGTTCAATTGACACGATTCTAACCAACCTTCAGAACATGGTTTTATAAAGTCGAAAACACAATCCGGATTTCTTTGATGACGAATTTCAATATCCCCTTCCTAATTGCAATGTTTCAAAATGTCCATTATCAGGCCAAAGATCATTACTATAAAGAAATTAAAATTACCTTTCGAAATACCAACAGCGATAACTTTGATTTATTAAAATATCGTGACGATAATTTTGCAAACTGGTTATTAATGTTTTTCTTGATCCAGCAAAAATTCTCTACGTATCGAAAACTCCAACTTTCCGCCATTTGGAGAATATCCGGTAAATATTCTTTTTCTGCCCAGATAAAGAGAAATCCTTTAAGAAGGATCTTCGGTATTTCGAGTTGTCTCTAGAGATGACAATTGAGCAGTTAATTTTTTATGTCATTTGAAGGAGACGTGAAATAAAACATGAACTTACTAATTCATCCATAGTAATTTTTCCGGGAGATGGAGATTCACCGGGAAGTAAGAGTGGTGGATCTATGTAAACGGCTTGGAAATTTTTTCCGAGCATTGTGAGGTCCATTGATAAGACATCTTTTTCTAAGTATCTTAAATTGATAAATATGATGAATTTCTTTTGCGAGAAAGTTCGGAAGACTCGATTCGATTTACACGTTATATATCAAATCATCATCACCTTGAAGTATTTTCTTCATGAATTACATGTGAATTCTTTCTTGTAGAGTGTGCCCATGAACGTGGTATGGGTAATGAAGGAATTCTTACGTATGTGGGTAAACTGGGATCGATATTACTATAAACACGAACATAAAATCAGTTTCTTTAGAAACTTGGGCAAATTCTAATACATGACGCGACTTGAAAATTTACCTGACTTTCTTTTTGACCATAAAGAAATTGCCATTTCTATCTTCAACTTGCATTAATTTATATCGCTGTATTATGCTTTCTCGGTCCAGACAACGTCTACGACGCTCCGAGGATGACTTATCATTCTTTCGGACACGTTTCTTTTTATTACCAAACTCTTCGTCCCAGAAATCATCGTCCACGGCCAAATAATCACTTTAAGAATAAGTAAATCACGCAATTGAGTTCGCGAATTATAAAATTCTAAGCAAAATCACAAGAATCTCTCAATTTATATACTCTTCTTCTTCAAATTCGGCAGTATTACCATCCTCCATTTCAATACGCCAATATTCCAAATCTTGTACATCGTCAATGTTTGGAGCAAATGTCGCGGATTTGACCGTAAAACTTGAAGTTCTTTTAAAAACCTCAATTAATTGTTCTTCTGTCAGTGCCTCTGATTCATGCATTTGGCTGCTTGACGCAATTTCTTCAAACACATTTCCGACGGGTTCTTCTGGTTTCGTGGCGGCAATTTCTTCTTGAATTCGCTCGAGCTCTTCAAACTTTTTCATTATGGCCTCAACAGACTCGTCGTCCTCGACATATCCAACGTATAACGCGTTACTAGTTTTTTTTTACGTGAAATGAGGAACAGATATATTCTAAGTTAAAGGTCGTGACAAGTTAATAAGAAAAGGTGCAGCTTGCCTTAGACGCGTAGATAGTAATTCCGTTATAAAGTTTCCTGATTTACAAAGTGAACACGAGATTACCTAGCAGTTGAAATTTGAGGGTTAATTGCGCGACGGCGTCGCAAAGCTCTTCCGCTCATTGAGCTCATTGATAAAAAGGTTAACTGAGTAGCTTGGAGAAATTCACTACAGTCACGACCACTCAAGTTTATAGCGAGTGCAATTCACGTGATTTGTAGTATTATTATATATAGAAATAATCGACCAACAAAATAGATCGACAAGAAAAGTCTTGGTCAAAATGTCGGAATTTATGGAAGAAAAGGATGTTGATTTCTTTGAATTCAGGCTTTTGCGAAAGAATAAAAATAGGATAAGCATTGCTCCAGGACCGCTTGATGAAACTAAGATTTCCGTATATGCTTCTTTGCTTGCCATTTCAAACAAGTATGGGTACTTAGTTGCAGGCACAAAAGCCGGTTTTATGATCACGAGAACGCATTCCTTGCGGCAGGCCTTTAAAAGTGAAACTTCCGAAGTTGAGACAGTAGTGAAAGGTTCTTTAGAAGTTAAGGTCTCAAAAGGACCAGTCGAAATATTAAAAATATCAGCAGACCAACTTACTGTCTTTGCTGGGATAAAGGGTGGAATAATACAATTATTTGATGTGACGACGCTGTTTAACGGGGTATATGCTGACAAAAAATTTTTAAAAAAAAGGAAAAATTGGATTTTGATTTTGACTGTTATTGCCTTTTGCTATAGGAAAATTCCACATTTACTCCGTATCGAGAGCTCTCATTTAATGAAGCGATTCGAGATATCAGGCCAAACCCGGGTCCTTCACCGAATATAATAGCAATCTTATTCAATAGAAATGGAATGATTATGTTGAAGGATTTTATAGAAGATAAAACTCTAAGTACTATTTCACCAAAGAGTGCAGGAGATCAAATTAGTGCGGGTATGCATCTATCTCGTGAAATTTTGCTTAATAAATTAAGAAAAATCTCAATTCCTTATATTCTTTTTGGGAATAGTGTGTTGGTCTCCAAAAGGAAAACATTTAATATGTGGGACTGCCTCTGGGAAATTAATAAAATTCGATACTGATGGTTCTTCAAGTGCCGGAATCCAACCACCCCCAGACCTGAGTAAAGACGGCGAAGCATACAGAGGTATATCTTCAATTAAAAACATGTATTTATGTATCCGAATGAATCTTAATTATCTACAATTCGTTACAATATAGTTTTAAATGTGCTTTGGTTGGAAAAAGCCCAGTTTCTTGTATCATATTATCCGATGATAGTCAGTGAAGATTCTGAAGCAATCTTATACCTTGTATCAAGCGAGCAAAGCCCTCCTATTTTTACCAAGGTAGAAGTTACGCCATGGAAATCTTCGCGACAAGACAGACAATCATATTACTTCATGGAAACAATCCGCGATTGGTTTGTTCACAATATCAATCGCACAGTTCAATTATATTTGATCATCTGTATTATAGAGTGTTGCGTGCTTACACATTGAATTATCTAGGGGTTCAAATGTAAAAAATCTAGTAATACTCGCCGATGCTCTATCGACTGACACATCATACATAGCATGCGATAATTCTGGAGAGTGGACATGTTGGATATTAGACTCTTCAGATGCTATAGTCATGCCAATACCAAGATTTGCTCAGAAATATGACGATACATTGCCTTTTGGGATGGCTATTGATTTCACGGATACTGAAGAATGGTTGACTAAAATTGCAGATGACACTGTTTCAGTTCCGCCAGTTCCCATTGTGTATATTTTAAACGATGAAGGAGATCTTTTGGCTTATCGCTGCTTTAATGAAGCAGCTTTTGAAGCTCAAGAGACATGCACGGACATGGTTATCGCACAAAATATTCCATCAACAGGTCCGTCGGCCTTAATTAAAAAACATTTGCCTGAACCAGAGCCAAAAGTAGTAGTAAATGACCAAACAAAATTGAAGCCATTATCTAAAATAACTCTGCCTCCGCCTGATCTTGGGGTTAATCAAAAGAAACCGATGACTCCAGTTTTCACTTTACCATCTAAAATTGCAACCACTCCTACACTAACTCCGACGTATAAAACTCCTGACATTAAAGTGTTCCCTTCACCTTCAAAAGCTACTCTGTTAGAAGAAGACAATATACGGGATGTCGAACGTTTTCTAAAGGAGGTAATATTAATAAAAAATTATATGTATTACTTAAAACACATGACTATATATCATATCAATATAATATAATAAATGCTATTATTAGTTGAAAAAAAGGATAATTCAACTTGAAGAAAATTATGTTAAACAATATCATTCTATCCCGATTGAAGAGTTGGAAGATATCGATTCAGATTCGGATTCAGATTCAGAATTGAATATTGGACGTTTACCTTTGCTCGAAATAAAGACCGATCGGTTATATAAAGGTGCTAAATCATTGGTGCAAAAATTTTTCACGGTAAAACAAGAAGTTTCCGATCTCAATGACCATATTACAAAAGGTAAATTCTTTTTTTTTGTAATAATTATTATGTAAAAACAATTATAGTTGATAGGCTTAATTTATTATGACTTCATGAACTTTTAAAGCGCACAGATTAATAGAATATATTGGGAATGCAATGGATCCAGAGAGCAAACCAATTTTACCTGATAAAGCAATTAAATCACTTAGTGATGAAGCTATGAACAACATTCGTGGAACTTTAGAGGTTACTATATAATACATATATATATCTCTTGAACTGTAAATATATAATTAAAAATATTTTTTATATCCTATTCAAGACTATAAAAGATGCTGCTCAAGTAGTTGAAGAACGTCTAATTTTATTGCACGATCTGATAGAAGAAAAAAAGAAAAAGAATATAGCAGAGTAAGTACATTAATTTTTATATAAATAGACATTTATTAATAAATGTTTTCGATAAATTATCTATATTCAGGAGATCTCCATTAGAAATGATTGAGTCGTCAATCCTTAATATAACCACTACTCTAATGTATTGGCAGAGACAACTAAATACGATGGGTGATGATGTCCAAAAACTCTATGCTGAAAAACAATATCGAAGTCAACCTGAGAAACAGGAAACTATTGAACAATCATTTAGTGCTAGGGAGCTTGATATTTCATCGTATCTTCGATATTCACCGGAAGCCGGAAAACAAATAGACTCATATCTGAAACAAACTCATATGATGAAACGAATAGGAAATAAACTTCGAAATCGGAAAACACCGATATTGACAAAACCAGCGGAAGGAGATCAAAGTAAAGCAACAATAGCATCTTCCAATGTTATTGGAAATATCACCACATATTCTCCAAATAATATACTGGAAACCTCTCATAAGACTCGTCCACCGATAGCCACAGCTGATTCGTTCCAAACAACCTCTATAAGCTCACTCAGCATAATTGATAGCCCTACAAAAAATATTCTTCAAGTTCGTCGTTTGAAAGAATCAATAAGAGAAAAAAAGGAAAAAAATGCTCCATATTATGTGAAATCTAAACACGAAGTGCGAACACCCGAACCATATGATTCTGAAAATCATAGGCTTTCGGCATTACTGGGAAATAATAAATCTTTTTCAGAGTATGTGACGGCTTTTCCATCAATTGATAAAAATTATTCTCGTCTTTCAACGTCTGATGATGCTGAGGACTCTAATGACAGCATTGTGACTGCCTATAGAATCGGTCAACGTCCAGTGAAGTCAGTGAAAGAAAATTTCTTTGGAAATACTTCTATCAAAAGTTCGTCTGAATTGGAAACAAAGAGCTTCTTCGATGAATCTCTACAAAACAAATTTAATAATGAGGCCAATATGAGCTTCCTTGATATTGCAGGAAAAACCGAACCTAAATATGAGTCAAGAACAAAGTCTGAGATCCCTTTTATTAAATCCATTTCACAAAATAAAGAGAACATTGCAAAATATGAAACTACAAAGCCTTCAGAAAATGATTCAATTCAAAAGAAACTCGAAGAGATTGCCAATTTGGAGATTTCCCCATTAGGACGAAAATCAGAAGGATTTGAACTTTTAATGTCTGCTGCCGCGAGATCATCTTCAGAAGAACAATCTCTTGCTCAAATTGGGACAGCGAAATCCGAGACTTCTGTTGATGAATCAAAGATCGATACGAGAAATAGTAGTTCTTATGAAGAACTATCATCAGCTAATGACTCATTCGTTAATATTGAGAAATCTGAAGTGGAAACAGTTGATGAGTCTTCGAATAAAAAATTTGCTGATATTCTTGCAACCGATGAATCAAAGGTATTAGAGATCAAGAATATTTCAGAATCAGAAAATTCCAAAGATACAACTGCAACAGAAGATGATATTGTAAAGAATCTTGAAGAATTAGAAATGAAACCTGAGACTGATCAACCACCACAACAAGAAGCAGCGAATAAAGAAATTGAATTGACCAGAGATAAAAAGGAAGCTCCCCTCGTTGAAACCCAAGAAACTATAGAAAATGTCCAATCAGAAACCCCTACATTAGAGAATGATATGGATATGGGTGGTATAACTCAATCTTTAGAATCGACTTACTTTAAAGAAACTGTTAATAGTTCATCTAATGAAACATCAGGCTTTGGCACGCCATCTCCCGCGCCAACGAGTTTTCCTGCTCCCGCTACTGGAGGATCGTTATTTCCGCCGTCTGCAAATACACCTAGCCAGATTAATGCTTTTGGCGCTCCGTCAATTCCATCTGGATTGGCTCAACCCACTTTCGGGCAGCCATCGTTTGGACAGCCAGCTTTCGGACAACCAGTATTTGGACAGCCAGCTTTCGGACAGCCGTCGTTTGGACAACCGGCTTTCGGTCAACCATCATTCGGACAATCATCATTTTCCCAGACTCCGGGATTTGGAGCGAATCCATCCTTGACTTCCTTGAAAACCCCAAGTAGTGGTGGATTTGCGAGATTCGCTGCTAGTGGAATTGCTGGTGCTGTTGGATTTGGTAAATCACCTGATCCTAACGCTACTCAAACTACTACAAATACTAATACGCCAAATAATCCAAATTTCACCCAATTTCGAGGATGATTTCATGGCATCTGCAAATATTTGGCCCAAAGTAGGTAAACAAAATAGCCATTGTATCGGTATTACAACATAAATAATAAAATTCGTGTATCGTTATTATTGTTTCTTGGCCATCAAGATTATGTGCTATTTAGTCGCGTGGGTTATATGTACCCGAACGCGTATTATTTTTTTTAGAACGCAAGCCTGGGACAAAGCCTCATAATAGGTCAAACAAATAAACTCTGAATTCTTTGTGAAATACTCGAGAATTAGTTAAATAGTGGATTATAATCACATTAACAGGAGTAGCATTTCGCAATAAAATAATATGACCAACAAAATCGAATATAAATCGGGTTTTTTGCCTTTATTTAAACTACGGCGAACTTTTTACAACCCGCGAGCGAAATTTTCACATTGGTGGTCACCATTTCACTTTCCATCTCGAACAAAGCGAGTATTTATCGCCATTATTCTTGATTGGATACTAATATTATTGATGTTTGGTTTGACTCAATGGTTTGTGTTAAATTTTGAATGAAATTGGTTGTTTCTATTATTTACAATCCTTTTAATTTTTGATTTTTTATTAATTCGATAGGTTTTTCGTCGGGCCAAAGCCACCAAAAGCCTACTTCTCAATAAATGACGAGAGTCTAAAACATCCGTTAGTCGATGAGATTATTTCCGCGGATAGTGCCACTGTTATTAATGCTGTTGGACCGTTTGTGTTGTTGTTGGTCTTGGAAGTGTTGTTCTTTTGGGATCGATGGGATGTGTATCATTTGGCCACGGGACACGCACAGTCTATTGGTAAGTGTCATTTATTGATACTTTATGCTTATTAAACTAACATTGAATGAATGCTAAGAAATAATAAATTTGGAAAATAGCAATGTCATTATTTTTTACTTCGTTGTTCTGGATTACCGTTGGTGGTAATTATTGTTTTATTATTTACTCGATTGTCTTCTAAAAGAAAGGAATTAAGTTTTTAATATTTTATCGTATAACAAATAGGTCATTTGGGACTGCGGCCGACTTTTCTAACAAAATGCGATCCAGATCCAACTAAAATTATACCCAATATCACTTACTACGATAATTCTATTTGCAGAGAAGATTTGAGCAAAATTGAATATCAAGGGTAAGAAAAAAGATCACACATAAAAAATATATTCATAAAAGTTGTCGTTTGAGCTGGTAATTTTAGCTTGAATGTGTTTTTAGTTTTCCAAGCGGCCATGCGTCAACTGCTTTTGCTGGGTGGGTTTTCTTTACATTGTATATTAATGGAAAAGCCAAGGTACTATTATTATTTTTACCTGAATTAATGCTGTTAATGAATAATTTAATGAATAATTAACAAATTATAAATAAATACAAATAGCCATGGAATGGAGGAGCACATTTTTGGAAGGTAAAATACTCACTCCTTAAAAAATATTCAAGAAAAAAAGACGCTTTCTCTATAATGACATCAAATGATATTTTTAGGTACTCATCCTTCTACTCCCACTATCATTCGCAACATGGATATCACTAACACGCGTAATAGACTTTCGTCATTTCCCCTACCAAATAATAATCGGTGGTATGATTGGAATCATGGCTGCGTTAATAGCATTTCGACTAAATTTCGTGGTGAATGGGTGGTTTGTCGCGCTAGGTGAAAATAATGACCATATTCCGGCACATTATCATTTTCTAAATGAAATTGAGATAAGTCGCGCTGAAAATGAGGAGGAACATGAAAATGAGAAAAATGAGGAGGAACACGAAAATGATAAAAGAACGGCGACGAAAGATCGATCTTTGCATGGCGGAGAAAATAATGTTTAAGTCTGTGTACTATTTTTGCTTTGTTCCCTTTTCCTATACCCCTAATGTAAATTAAGAGTACCACTAATTTTGGTGAGTTTATGTTTAAAAGTTAATTTTTAGTTTAAGATTTTATTTAAAACAATAAAAAATAATCCATCATAATAGCAGGTGACAATATATCCATACACATCATCAAGTTTTTATGAAAATTTTCGACTATTCTCTTTTAAAACTGAGATTACGTAGTGTCGAGTGCAGTTACCAAATCATCTGTCTGCTGATCTGGGAAAAAACGCGTTTTTCTTTTATATACATTTCACACCCTTCGTAGAAAAAACCAAGAAATAATGGAAAGACGAAATAAGCTGCAGCAAAATCACATTTTCCAAATCTCTAACCAGCTTCTTCTAAGCTCTCCAATTCCACAACACGTCCTTAATACACCGCAAACATTTAGAGGTTCCATACTTGACCAAACACATTCGAATTTTAATTTAAATTCTCCTCAGACCTTCTTGAATGATACTCGCATCGTTCAAAGTCAATCAACAAGCCAAGATCTAAGAGGCGAAGAGACATCCAACATTCAGTCTATTACGCATCGAAACTCTGCTTTCTCGCGACCAGTATTTGGCAGCACCACTGGCCACGTACAAAGAAGTTTTGCCAATATTGTGCCACAAATTTTACGACCGGTTGCCTTGCCTGCATATGATTCTCCAACGTCTTTGTTTCCGCAGTTAACCACAAATACCAATTCTGATATCAGCGTGGAAAATACTCAGCTAGCTACATCATCAGTCAACTATAATTACGAGAATAAATCGAGAAATCTTTCGTACCCAACAACCCTTGCAAATTTAGAATACACTCCAACTCGAACATTTTGCAATATGACTCCATCCCTTAATACACCTCAATTTGAAGGTCCATCAGAATCTCTAAAATATGAACCTGTTTCGAATACAAATAGCAACAATAATCATGATAACAAGATACCCGAATTCGAAGATTCAGAAGGATCCTTGACATTAGATGATGAATTATTATTATTGTCAGAAAATGAAGATTCTTCGACAAGGTTGCAAATATTATCTAAAGATGTTCAAACTATTCCAAACACCAATTCTCCATCTATGATCTCTCATGCGAAAGAAATACCAGAAACTATATCGAATATTAATACTCAGTCTACTACTAATTTACAATCAACCACTTTATCGGAGGAAAGATCGAATAATTTACAATCAACTGCTTTATCGGAGGAAAGATCGAATAATTTACAATCAACCACTTTATCGGAGGAAAGATCAAATAATTTACAATCAACTGCTTTATCGGAGGAAAGGTCAAATAGTAGTGATATACAAAATGAATCGATTGAACCAATTATTCTAGTAAAACTTGAGTCAATCACTCCTATAACAATTGAGGAAAAATCACCTCTTGTTAAGGTTGAAGCAAGTAGCCCTCGTATAAAAATTGAACCTTTAGAGTCTCATACAGTTTTTGGATCAAGTTCCCCCCTTATAAAGATTGAACCAAGTACTCCTGATAATCAAGAAGAATTACCTGATAATCAAGAAGAATTACTTGATAATCAAGAAGAATTACTTGATAATCAAGAAGAATTACCTGATAATCAAGAATTACCTGATAATCAAGAATTACCTGATAATCAAGAGGAATTACCTGATAATCAAGAGGAGTTACCTGATAATCAAGAGGAGCTACCTGATGATCAAATCCAAGAATCCGATACAAAGAAACGAAAAGTAACAAAAAGAAAGGTCTCTGGTCAAAAAAACACATACAAATCTTCAGATAAAAAAGAAAATAAATTGCATCTTGATAAGTGGGGGTTAAAACTTATTGATATGCCAGGAGGTGTAAGTTTTAGTATTAATTATACTTTGAGCAAAGCTTATATAGATTTTTAATATGCAAATCTGTTTTTTTTGGGTAGATTTCAAACAGTGATTCTTGGTTTGTAGTAAATGGTATTCGTACGACCGCATCAGGAGATCAGATTGTATGTAAATCTAAAAATTATGTTGTTTTTTAGAACAATTTAAACAATCCAAAAACATGTAATCTTTATTGTAGCGTTGGCATAGCTCACCGATACAAGACAGAATAACACCAAATGAAATTCTAACTATATCAGGCGCGATCTATTATCTGGATGGAGATCTAAATGTGGAAGCCATGAAAGAGGATGGTGAGTATTCAATTTCTATTTCTACGCTAAATATTTGGTTTGAATTTTGCCTTTATTAAATAAACCTTTAACAATTTTAAAAAGGATATTCGGAAGATTTTTGCGAGAAATTACTTCATGGTTTTCCAAACAATTGGAAGGAATTGTTGGTTGGCGCGCTCCCAGCTGAAAAAATTAATGAAAATACAGCAACTGAAGAGATGGAGGTTGATGAAGTTGTTGGTGAGGAAGTTGGTGAAAGCGATGATGGAGACGAAGTTTCAGCTCAAAATGAACTGAAACGAAAACGCGAAGATGATGTAGAAGAGTCAGAACAAGCTGAAGATGGAAGTGGGGCATCCGCCGCATCCACTTCGACGCCTGTTACAACCCAGGCGGTTACCCCTCCTGCCACTAGTTCAGGCGAAACTTGCCTGACTAGATCCGGCAGGAAGGTAAAACCTCCTGGTGCGTGGTGGGCAGTCAACGGGCGCGACGTGATTGCCCACGAGCCAAAAAAGAAGGTGGCTCGTAAAACACCTCGAAAAAAGGAAGCAGGTTAATAATTTTATCATACAATATGAATAAATTTTGCTAAGTATCATTATTTGATTTGACATTTTATCTTTTATTTTTACTAGGAAGAGTCTCTCCTGATTCCAAGAAAAGAAATAAAAGACAAAAAAAATAAAACAAATTTTAAAACCTCTAAGTGATTGCTTAGCTTTGGTATGGATTGTTTCTTTACTAACTTGTATCTCTTACAGTTTTTTGAATACGATATTGTTTTAAAGCATCCCCATTCCCATTGAAATTATCAATATTTAAGTTTAAATGACTTCCCGAGTAAAATTAGTCTACCAATTTCACAAATTTTAAGTAAAAAACATAAAATTTACAATCTTCATATTCTTCCCATGCTTCATCCATTACACCCTGCCTTGTCGTCCTTAGTATCTTTTCTTTATTAACGTTAACCAATAAATAATTTGGTGGATTATTGCCTGTATCATCATACGAACTAGAATCAACACTCAAAAAGCCACTATCTTGAGAATAACTTGCACTTAAACTCAGAGATAGAAAACCCGAAAATTCCATACTTAAATTCTTCACATAGTCTATCATAAACACTATTGATATTTGGCCGATTTTCTGGTTTGCCTCCCCCAACATTCTGTATATAACTGCACATAGCCATCGGGTGTTCCTGTAATTGGAGATTCACGCATGCCCATTACAACATTATAACCTATTGCTGATGGATTGATGTGTCATTGGTGGTCGACCACTAGATAATTCCCATAATACCACTCCAAGACTATGAATATCGGATCTTGCATCAGGCCAGTAGTTTCCTTTGAATGTCCGTGGACAACTTGACATCGAGTTCATACCACCAGGTTCTGTTCTTTTGAATCGAGATCCGCAATTTTTATTATATAGTTGTGGACAAGAATGTTTTGTGAATTCTAATAAATAAGTTTCATTAGACATTAGACACTTTGAATAAACTTCTTTCTATAAATACTAACCAAATCTCGATGAATAATAAAGATACATAAGACCACTGGCAATTTGTCTGGTCAATTCCAATTTATGCTTTTCAGCCAGTGTTAAAATTCTTTTTCAGATAATTCCGAAGTGACCCATTATCGGTATATTCAAGAACAAGAAAATAATTATTCGTGATTGGCTCTATAAGAGTTCATTATTCTACATATGCTTTCTGTAAATGAAATAATCAAATATATGGTAGAAATACCCCATAGAATTGTACATATTTTTTAAATTTAGAATATACTAAAAAATGACATCTACATCGAATACAAATTCTACTTCCTCTGCCTCATCCTCTTCTTCACTTCCACCCACATCATTAATATTAGCTATAAGCGCCAGTTCATTTTTTGCAGGACTTGTAGGATCACGATGGATATTCAAAGATAAATGTAATAACCTATTCCCATAGTTAATTTATATGTACCTTCATTATTAATTTTATTAAACCATAGTTTCAGAAGAATTACCAACAGATAGTTCTGCCACACTAACGCAAACGGATAAAGTAAAAATACATCGTATGGCACGCTTAACAGCTGTGAAAGCTTTATCCGCTGGCACTGTTTTATGTTTATCCGGTGCAGCGGTGTTGGCTTTTGGCGTGGGAACGATGCTGGGTGTTAGTAGTGTAAGTTTATTTGAATTTCAATAATCTCTTTACGAATATTCATTCAATTGACCTCACTTTGTTAATAAAATACATAGTTAAAAGAATTCCATATGAAAATGAAAGAAATAATACCTAAATATAATAAGAGCGTTATGGGAGTCGATTTTGGAGGGTTGAAAACTACTACAATGCAACTCGATTTCGATGCGGCAGAAAAAGAGGATTGGATTACATTAAGTAAAGAATGGGAGAAGTACGTGTTGGAAAGAGATGAATATTTAAGGAAAAAGAGGGAAAAGAAGGCACAGAAATCATCTTGGTGGTCGTGGTGGAAGAGTTCAAAATCTGACGAATAAATCAATTTTTTTAGTAAATCCAATTATTTTTCCGCAAATAATTAAATTTATGCGGTTTTTTTTAAACTGGTTTAATAACCTTGAGGTTAAATTGAGATTAAATTTTTTAAATTTTCTACAAAAGGGGGATACTATACGAGCGCTTTATGGTATTTATGTATTTATGTCTAAACTTTCCCCATATAACGATGATTACACTGTGACACTAAAGTAACCAGTTTCTCTCTCTCTCTCTCTATATATATATATGACCTTATTAAAAAATTATTTATACTAGCAATCCTAGTTTCTTTCTTCATTCATTCTTCCTTTTCTCAAATCCTTATTTCTTGCGTCAGGCTCTCGTAATTAACTTTTTCCGATTTGATTTATTTGCTTGTTGCTCTTTTCAATTTAAAACAAGTATTGTTCACAAGTTGAACTTGTGCTCAATCAATCAATCAATCAATCAATAATAATAGAATACATGAACTAATATAAAGAATCTGATTCAAATATACAAAATATTTACTGTTTGAGAAAAATATGAGAGCAGAAGTGTCGCTCGGCATCTTGAAAGCTATAAAGTCACTACTTATTATATGTGTGGTGCTGTCGGTTTTATACACTTCAAACTATCTTTTCACTCTATATACGTCCAACGATGTTCTAATAAATGCAAAGTTGCAACCGGGTGATGATTCAGAGCTAAGTAGTATTAGTAATAATAATAATAGTAATAGCAACCAGACTACCGAATGGGGGAAGGATAGGATACCATGGGGTAATTAGTATTCCAATAAATATTTAATGTTTGATTTGATTTGATTTGATTCGATTTATGATAATTCTGACAATGATAAGATTTTATTGTTCGATCAAAGGTTCTGATGATTCTTCGACTGAGGAATTTTTCCTGTCCAAAGTATTCTCGGAGGCGTTACAACCATCACAAGTGATTCCTTATTATTATCGTGCAGAAACAAATTTTAAAGCAGAAGACATCACAATCACAACATTGGTCACCTCAAATAGATTTACTGTATTCAATCGTCTCGTCACCACGTATCAAGGTGTGCGAATTATATTTGTGCTGTTTAAAAATGTTCATTTTATTTATCATTAATCTTAGAATATTTATTCTCTTTGTAAAGGTCCCATTTCTGTAACAATACATGTGACCGATGACCCAGAGACACGAGATCAACTTCTCGCAGAGTTAGAAGACTTATACACCGCAAATCCATTTATGAAAAAATATGTGGACGTACATTTAGTAGTTGATAAATTTGATCGTCAATTTAATATGTGGCGAAACGTGGCAAAATTCTTTGCGAGAACAGACTACATAATGATGTTAGACGTGGACTTTTTCTTGTGCACGAATTTTCGCACTAAAATTTTAAATGATCCCACCATCATGGAAAAATTACGTGCAGGCAATACTGCTTTAGTTGTACCGGCATTCGAGTATGCCGATCTCGAAGAGGGTAAAAATCCGGAAATTTTCCCGAAAACAAAAGAATCATTAATCGAGGAAGTGAACTCTGGCCGATTGAATATGTTCCATCCGGTCTGGCAGAAAGGACACGGACCCACAAATTATCAACGTTTTTATGAGGCTGATGAGATATTTATGGTCGCGGAGTATCAATTTAGCTATGAGCCTTACGCTATTTTTCCAAAGAACAGTCCATGGTATGTGTCTGTAATGATGATATATTTTGGGGGAAACTAGATGAAAGTTAATCCTTTTTGGCTTGTGATTTAGGTGTGATGAAAGATTTATTGGCTATGGAGCAAACAAAGCCGCATGTTTGTTTGAAATTTATATTTCCGGTGTTGATTATTGGGTATTACCCGATGACTTTTTGATACATCAAACGCACGAGTATCCGGAAAGTGCACGAAAACAAGAGGTAAAGAATAATAAATTCATTTATTTTGCAAAAAAAATAATCGATATTCTTCTTTATAATAACAATATCATGATTAATCGCAACAGCGAAAATACAATAAAAAACTATACGATCATTTCCGTGAAGAAGTCTGTTTTCGGTATGCACGCAGTTTCATCACCAACGGCGAATGGGAAGCCGAAAAATCTGAAAATCTAAAACAAGAATGCCAAAAGATACGGGGTTTCAATCAGGCGATAAAGTTTTTCAATTCTATTGATTAGAATTAATTTAATCAATAAACAGTTTTGTAAATTGAGTCAAAGACAAATAAGACAAAATATAATCTAATCTAATCCAACCAATGAAGCGTTGGTTAGTAAGTATGGGGTGATTTGGTCGGCTTGTATTAAATTAATTAATTTACATATATACACAGTGACTTTCTTTATAGTGTACCCTGTTATAGTGGAGACTAATTAAATTCACGTAATAGTGGATAATATTCAAAACTGCCTCTAATAAAATCCACCCGATATAGTAGATTTACTAATAGATTTCAAAAACTCTCGATATAGTGGAGAATTTTTTGCTAGAACATGTAGCTTTTTTTGATACACTATAAAGAGATTTACTGTGTACACAAATATTTGATCACACATGTTTATACTAATTACTCAAAAACTTGCATAATAAAAATACAAAATTTTTATTATTATATAGCTTAGATTCTTATATATATAAATTTACAAGCATTAACATGGAATTTTATGTAATCAAAAAAATAAAATATCATTTAATTTAAAATGCCAAAGACAAAAAAATTATGAATCAACAAAAGCAAAATTTTGGTCTTCAATTAAGTGAAATATCTATAAGAATTTCTAATTCCATATCTGTTCAATATACAATTACTCCTTATCGTTATTCCAAAATTCTAGAATTGAAGATTAAGAATTGAACGTGTATTTCTAGCAATGGATGGCAAACAAATATTATTTGTATTTAGTTTTTTTTAAAAAAAATTTTAATTGACCTTTTTTTTTACAAATTATACAATTAACACTAGATATAACAAACCTTTTTATAACAAAAACGGAATTCAAAATTTTTAAATTCATTACGAAATTTGAACCGTTAGGGTAATTACCGAAATGTTAATCAATGAATGAAAGATTCTGAAAATTTTATTCGTGAAATTGAAGTAAAATTGACCATAATGTCAAGTTTTAACACACTAAATGCTAATAATTAAAATTTTGCACATTGCGTCACGAGATATTATGCGAAACGTAAATAAATTGCTACAACGCATTTAAGCGATTTATTTGCGTTTCGGATAATATCTCGTGAAGCAATGTGCAAAAATTTATGAAACTTTACCTATGCGTAGAATAGAACCCAACCAATATTTTTAATTAATATCAGTTAGTGTATTAAAACTTGACATTATGGTCGATTTTACGTTCAAATCTCGAATTATATTTTATATCACAATTACCGAAGTTTACCGAATTACCGTCGGTAATTACCGAACCGTTATCGAAAATCTCGGTAAAATAACGGTTCGGTAAATTTCGGAGCCCTACAAATGGATCTGTCACTCCCCTTAGTTCGTTATAAATAGAGTGAAATTTTGTATGTATGTTGTAAGTGGAATATTGGTGGATTCGGGAATCCACTTAGCCAACACTAAGCTTATCACTCTACGAGGTTGTAACTGTATGGAGGTCAAATTTCAAAGGCTTCAACCCATGTGTAACATTGAATTACACGCGAACTATTTTTTAGATGAAAAAAATAACAAAAACATTTTTGAGATTCTTTCTACAGAGAAAATCAGAGTATTCTTCTTTTTATGGTGAAATATGGGTGAAGAGTCTTTCTAATTTAGAACACTGTAAAAAAAAGTCATGAAAAATGTTTATATATGTTGTGCCTCAGTACGTAAATATTTTTTTGGAAAATCATAACTATTTGGATAAATTTGGATTTTGGCCAGCCAAGTCACGTAATAAATTAACACATCGGTGATTCCATGTTAGACAACATGATACAATGCTAGATAACATAATCCATGATTCAATTGTCGAAAACCTGGAAATCCGCGAATATTTGGATTTATTTGAATAAATTTGGATTAATGTCGGCCGAAAATGAGCACATGAAACGTGATCTGAGGCAGACATCAATTCTTTTCAAGCGTAATTGATTTTCAATTAGCAAAATTCATGATCTAATAAAATGCAAGCAAAAAAAACCTTTGATATATCAAAAAATACTAAACAAATTAATTAGGACTATCTATCATTCACTGGAGAATTAGCAATTAATCAAAATGAAATTATTTTTAACGAGATGTAATTTTTAGTTAGATCGTCTTTGACTCATCATTAAGCTTTGGTTTTAAAAGACGCGCATTCTTTAAAGCATTTCTTATTTGTCGTAGATGTATAAACCACTTTCATAAAACAAAATGATTGAATTAATTATTTCATCTTCTCGATACATTTATATATGTAATATATTATTCTTTTCGCTCACGAACAAGTGCACTTTCCGCGGTATATATTTAGTACAAAAATGTTGATTGAGCGGAGCAATGTAATCTATTGGATTTAACGATACATGTCTTAATAAATGCACGACTAGCTCTGGAATTTCGAGAACTTTGCGAGCTGGTGGAATATTTTGCTGTGCCGATTCTGGAGTCATGATTGTTCCCGAGTAACTTGTTCTTTTTTCTTTTGGATATGTCAATTAATTAACGCATTATGTAAATAATCATGTAAATATTGCACTCTTTAATTTAAACGAAAATTTAATCCTTTTTATTTGGTTGGGTGAAAAAATAGTGATTATGAACTAATTCTAACGCTAAATACATGTGTGATGTTTTAAATCTAGTTCAGTTAATTTTCTGTTGATACCCGGTACAAATACTCGAGTTGGATGAAAATTAAGAAAAAGAAAAATCAAAAATCATAATCCGCTATTTCTCGTATTTCTCCATCGTATTCGGGTTCAATATGATTTTCAACGCTAGTAATAAGTTCCCGTCTCTCAAGTTTCCAGGTCGTCCATGAACAGCCATACATGGTAGAACGACTATTCCCCCATACTTTTTCATTTTGCCCGCTGCCACTTTCCAAGGATTCTTTGTGCTCACGAAGAAGAGCATTTAACGCGGCACGTTCATCCTTATAGACTGCTAGTAGAACTGCTTCGCGTGAGTATTTACTTTGATAGTAAGTTCTCATCAACGCATAAACATAATTCGATTCAGCAGATAAAGTGTTTGGTCCTGCTGGTCCTTGTGATACTGTTGTTGTTTCTTTAAGGGTGGTGGTGGAATCGTCGATTTGTTGTGGTTGTTCCTCGGAATTCTGTGTAGAGGACATTATGGATACTCGATAGAAAAGTAAAGTGGTAGGGTTTTTAAAAAAACGCCTCAGTTTGAAGGCAAGGTTATATATACGTAAATCGTGTGTAACTCGTGCTCACTGAACGAAATAATAATTATGATATAATTTTTATTTCGTTGTATGATCGAAGGTGTTACAATAATTCACGTCGTATTTGATATTTTTCGAGAACGAAATAATCATTATGACATAATTTTATTTCGTTGTATTGTTCTCCCTAGATCAAGGACGACAAGGGTGTTGCGATATATTGATATTTTTCGAATGTATACAGTTACGGCGGAAAGTAATGGCGGTGAGCTTCTTGTTATGTAAATTTACTATAATACTAGCATTTTTTATAGAAGCAAAATATATACATAAAGTGCTAGATTTCTAGCAAAATAAATTTACGAAAATCTTATAAGAGCGAATCATAGCAAGTCATTTTCCCGATTGCAGGTTTGTAAAATTTTCAAAACTTATTTTATCAATAACCAGTGGTCTGAATTTATAATTTTGGTCTTATTAAATTCGCCTCAATAAGACGAACATTTTGGTAGTAATAAGTTCATTTTAACCAGAATAAGATTTATCGAATTATTGCGATGTTTAGTTTTTTTTTAGTTAAAAAACGTTCAAGTTACAAAATTTTTAGACTATTAAATTTTATTCAAACTTGCATTGACACGGAAAGAGATCACATCAAGTACTGATGTTTTTAGGGCACCATTCAAATAATTTTTTTAAATTTATTATATAATTGAATGAAATGTAATAAAAAAACTGGCCGTCATTACTTTCCGCCAGAACCGTAAGTTGTAGTCTTTCTTTTTTGCATGGTAATGATTCTAAGAGAAATTCACGGTTTTAACTCTGCAAAATACGACATTGAATTTTGCAGCAGAATCCCAAATTATTTGAATTTCGGCAAGCATCCTTAGTAAAACACTTCTTCTTTTCTCAACTTTCGTGATCCTGCATTTGGCACACGTCTTATATACTTTCCCATTGTGTATAATTATGTCAGAAGCGCACGGGAACAAGAGGTACAAAAAGATAATTGGAAGTATTAAAGAAATAAATTTTGTATTTCTCAATACATCTGTGCTAGTTTTTTAACTTATTACAAAAATTATTAGCTAAGTCCGAACCCTGTATTCTTCTGCTAATGTCAAAATGTATAGTAATAAAAATACCGTATGTATCAAGTCTTCAACATTTAGACGTATTTCTCAATACACCCACACTTTTGCTAATTTTTTACCAGAGTCATTAGTCAATGCATACAAATAAAAAAAATGCAATTAAAGCCAATACCATAATCATAAAAATCACAGGAAACATAGAACCCTAACCACGGCAAAAAAATGTCGGGTCATGTGATGATAAACAAATCCAACCAATAATATTGCGCAAAAATTATGCAAATTTTTGATAAACCCGGCAAAACAAATCCGGCACAAGAAAATAAGAAAAGACAAAAAATACAAAAAACAGATATCTAAATCTAGCTTGGTGTATTATCAAAAAATGTCGGAAAGATAATTTTATATACAACCTTAATCTCAGCTCTAACACTTAGATTGGTCCGAAATTTTGAATGACGATCGTCACGTGACTTCATTAACATGATTAGATTTTATTGGCTAATGTACACATGACTTTAATCACATGCTTTAACTTTATTGGTTAAACATACAACATATGCACCATTCACCAAGTCGAAAAGAAAGTGACTTTTACTGAAATTTTCTGTACAATTTTAAAAGTTTACTCTCGGCAAAAAAAGGCATGGATTCTAAACACTGTTCATGATATTTTATTGAATTTTTTTAGCACAAAAAAACAAATATTACTCTCATTAAACCAAGGCACTAATTAAAACCTCACTGGAAACCGCTGTCTCTTCTTTCTCGTAATTATTGGCAATGAATTTTGCGCTACAAACAACCCATATCACTTTTATTAGAAATTACACTGTTCAGTATTAAAAGAATTGATTCTCTTTGAAAACGACGACTGATTTAGGAAGATAGAAATATCTATTTTTATTGTATACAGTAACCGTCGGTATAACAGACGGATTTGGTTCATTAGTGAAAAATCTGCTTTGATGTCCGTTATATCGATTAACTCAAATAGCGCGAATAGTAAAGCAACGAAGCAAAATCGACACATTTAGGAAAGAAAATATTATTATTGCTATAAACGCGAATTTTCTTCCATAATGGTTCGACACAAATTTCACATGCCATAAAAATTTAATTCAGATTTACCATAAAGGTAAATTCATGCATGATAATGCTAGCGTGAAAGATCACGAGCTTGTGATGAGCATATTAAATTAAATTCTAATCTATGATAAAACTAACTAAATTAATAAGTGACATTTATCCAATTAAAGTATTAACTCGATCATGGGGCAAACAAGAATTGTTGACACAATTCAACGTGACAAATTAAATTCAATACACAAAAAAAAGAATTATACAATTCCGGTTCGATGTGCTAAAAAAACTCCTATTACAGCAAAAATTATGATCCCTGTCAATATGGAAAAGAACCATGACAAGTTTCCAACTCCATCCGGTTGTCCGGGTACTTCGACATTCATCCCCCATAATCCTGTAAAAAGCCAAAAAGTAAATTAGAAAAAATCGAGACCACGATGATAATTAATCATGAAAAGAAGCTCACTCACCTGTTACTAAATTCATTGGAATTAGTATCGTACCAAGAGCAGTTAATCGTGATAATACATCGTTGATTTGATTATTTGCTTGTGTCATCTCAATAGAAATCTGTGCGAGATAGTTTGAATGAGATCGTGAAAGTATTTTCTCATAATGATTCAAGTTTTGAACCATTGTAATAATGTGATCTGTTTAATTTGACGCAAAGAATAAGTCAATTCATGAGGTAACAAAAAGAAATGACAATGTTATTTTTACCTTGAATATCTCCAAGATATAGTACTATTTCATTGCTGATGACCACATCCCATCGCAACTCATTACACCTTTTAATTAAGCCTTTCATCACATCGGCCTTATTGCCAAGTAAGCGTAGCAGACCCATTACTTTTTTTCGGCAATGTCCGATTCTTCGTAACATATCACTCTGTTCGGATTCTTTAAGAATCAATACTAATTCGTCGATCGAATCCACTTCAAATTCAATCGCTCGAATTAATGGAGCGAACAAATCTGTTATATCATCAATTAACGCGTAATTGATCCAATCTAGTACAATAATATACGTGCGGGGATGAAACGTTGAAATTTATAATAATCGTAGCCGGATTTTCTAGAAATAAAAATTATTTAACCTTACCAGGTGTAACAGTAATATAATCTTTCAATTGTCTAATGCGTCGCCTAACATTTCCAGGATGTGGACTTGGTCGGTAATGAAACTATACGAGCATACCACATTAAAATTCTAACCTAATTACTGAACAAACGATAAATGATAGCATACATACCGACAAAATGCCTTCTTTCATTACCACTATGTATACGCTGATCGGTTGCAAATAAGTAGGGGAATAATGATCCTGATCAAAGGATCGGAAACAAATAAAGTAATAGTGCTTAAATAGTTCACATTTCTCTCGAGTATCTTCTGTTTCGATATCTTCGACTGTGAGAGGATGAATTCCAAATATCTATATGATAAAGATAAAAGTAGGTAAATTGAATTTCGAATCAAAGTACATTAATGAATTCATTTTTCTAACCTTGCCCAAATCTCTCATTTCGGCATCACTTGGCGCTAAAATGTCAATCCACCAACAACCAGACTTTAACATATCAGACAATGAGGTATTGGAAGGAGGAATTTCAGCCAAAGAACGAGCATGTACTGTGCTGTAAGCGGTCGAATAGAAAGTGTATCGATAACTAACATCATGCATTTGCTAATTATTAAATAAAAAATAATATTATATCAACCCAGCTTGAATAACACTTCAAATCAGGCGAATTTTACCACTTTTTCAAAGCTTAGCGGCCAAAAAAATCTTAACTTTTTCAACAGTGTATTGTCTTTGCATTGAAATCGAGATGGACTAAGCAGCCGCATGACTATAGGAAATCACAAACGAACCTTATTCTCAGATTCCCTCGTAAGACTATATTTGTGATTAACAAAAGCAGAAGCTGGTTCACTCAATCTGCGTTGTCTCTTTCGTTGCTCACTTTTTCTTTTAGCTGTTTGCTCTCGTACATATTCCTCTAGTGCCTCATAATCGAGGGATTTTTTGTCATGCTTCTCAATTCTAGGGAAGCACACATCTTCCTGTGCTTTTGATCCACGACGTGATTGTGACGACGTATTTGTTGTAGCACATCCGTCCGAATCGGATTCTTCATTTAATGAATTATTTGAACTAATTTCGAAATGGCTATTATTTCCGTTATTATTGTGATTATTATTATTATTATTATTAAAATGAACTACATGATCCTGTCTAAGTGAAGATGCGACAAGAGGAGATGGCTGCTGCAACGGTGAATCTAACGTTGATTGTTCCTGACGGGAACCATACTGTTGTCTATCACGTCTTGGAGTCGACGTTAATGACTTATCAGCATATCCAGAGGATTTTGATGCAAGTCTTTGTTGTTTTTGAAGCAATGGAGTATCCTCGGTTTTACTATCCTCGCGATCATTCCCTGAAAAGCCAGAAATGCTATGGATGTTTTGTAATATATCATAGTCGAAAGTAGGCGGCTCGAGTGTACTCGGGCTAAGAGTGTAGTTATCTCGATCTAAAAGTCTCTCGTTCGAGCCAAGCATGTGAAGATATGGCGATGCAGAGTATGGTTTTGGTGAGGTGTGCGGGGTGACATTTCGTTGGGAATTGTTGGTTGGCGAAGACATTTTTTTTATTTGAGAAAGTTGATAATTAGTTACTAGTATTTGAATGTTTAGTGGCAGGTTATCTTCTTGTTACTGCCGCGAAAAAACTATATACAGTTGGATGATGTCACAGTTGTTGTAATTGTCTATTCTATTGAAGTCGCAGTTTATAAGATCAAAGAGAACTAACTATAGTTCACTCAGAAGGGTTACTGTTAACCCAGCCTAAAAGAAAAAACAAGAGTGTGTTCCACATCAAAATAAATGACATGGGGCGGGAGAAAAGGATGAATAATGGATTAGTGATTCGGTCTGGATTTGGACTTTACTAAATGATGATTCTTTATCGTGACACAGTCACAGGTAACTTGTACATTAATTACATTATACTATATATTTATATTTACTGTGTGCTATGTATAATATTCATGACTACAATTTGATCAGCGTGTAACAATCAAAAATTCCGTTTTCCTGAGAACCTATTTTGTTATTCACACAACAGCAACAGGATCAAATCTCGCACGTGAATTTCATCATCATAATATCAATATGATGCCTTATGATCAAAAAAAGCAATCCAAGATTAAACTTTGGTGCGCAATCTTGCATACAATTATATATTTCGATACCTTTCTTTTGAACGAAAAGATTGTTTATTACATGTCTTGAACTTGAAAAAATTTTATCTGTTTTGAGATTAAATTGATTGAATGAATTGAATTGAATTATAAAAAAAAAAAGATCTTGAATTTCCTCCAAAGGAAAAAAGATGAATGCATGTAAGTAACGCGATTTCTCGATTAAGATAAAATTAACAAATCAATGATCAATTGGGAAACCCTGTCGCTGTTGTTTTGCCGCAACTTTTCATCCGTCACCCGTTTCAACTAATTCTTTTAATTTCGATTCGACTTCGTTCGTTGACAAATCATTCAATATCACTTTTTTTTCTTTTCCAAAATCTGCAGCAAACAATGTTTGTTAGATAAAACATTAGATTGATCAATCAACAATGGCGATTGGAGGAAACAACAACAATGTGAAGATTTTTACGCCATACCATAACGTGCAAAAAATCGCGCTTCTACGCCGCTCGCTTCTCGAATAAGGATGGGAAAATCTGGGTTTGCTTTTTTTAGCGTGAGATAATTTTTGGCGATATAGTCTCTAATTGGGCGAGATAGTTAATTGATCAAAGAAAAAAAAATATGGCGAAATTTGTTTCTTCGTTAATTGTTTTTTTTCCCTGTGAAAAAAAATACACAATTGGAAATGTAAGCTTGATAGAAATAATTCTTACATGTTGACATTGTTAATTGAGATAATTTTTACCTTTAGTAAATGGCAAAATAACCTTTCTATTGATTCTTACCTAACACCGAAACTAGCCGGAGAAGTCTGACAATAGTGTACACGTAATTCCTTTAATCTTCTAGATAATGAACTTTGCCACATTTTTAATTTTTAAAGAGTACAATTCCATATATTTATAAATAAAATTGCAACACGGCCATTAATTGGTTGATTGACATTCTAGTGACTTGCATAAAATGTAAACAATAATGATAGAAATTAATCGATCAATTTTCTAGATAGAGAAAAATGCAACAATCAAACGCACATCGTCTACAAGTAGTTCTTCCCGGAGACGCGTTACCGGTCTATGAGCATAAACTAAAACTAGGTCCTGGTCTCATCCAAGACGAAGACCAAATAATAGCAGTGAAAGGTGGTGTATTAAAGCATCAACCTGCAGGCAATAAATACTGGGTTGAGAGTAATCAACGAAGGGTAAACTACTATCCAAAACTTTTTCGAAATTCTAAGTTGAATACCTTCCCATTCTTTCTAATTGCAATGTAGTATGTCGCAGCTACTGGTGACCCCATCATTGGTGTGATAACACAAAAAGGCGGTGAATTTTTTCGTGTAGATATTGGTGCAGCACATTCCGCTGTTTTGTCTTACTATGCTTTTGAGAATGCGACGAAAAGATATCGACCGAATCATGATGTAGGCATTTTTTTTAGTTATCCTCTCAATAGCATTTTGGTAATGTTAACCGTTTTTGCGTTGTTTTAATTACTGATATGCGTTAGGTAGGTACATTAATATACGCTCGTATCTCACAAGCTAATAAAGATATGGAACCTGAATTGGAATGCGTGAATCCTGCAACTGGAAGAGCAGATGGGTATGGAGAATTGAAAGGCGGTCAAGTGGCTAAATGCTCTTTAGGATTAGCGCGAAGGTTTGTCAATATACATTAATATTATTCCTTCCAAATATTTTTTTGTGTGAATACTCAAAATTATATCTATAGACTACTCGAAACCGAAACCCCAATTCTAAAAGACTTAGGCGACCATATCCCATTCGAAACCGCGATTGGTCTGAATGGTCGCATTTGGATCAACGCTGATACTACCAAAAATACCATCGTAGTTATAAATGCTATCAAGGACTCTGAGAAGTATCCGGAGTCACAGTCTCGGCAGGTGGTTTCGAATCATTTAAGTAAATGGTAGAATATATTGATAAGCTGGGTAAGTAAGCATTTCCGTTTTTTGTCTAATTAATCGATATATGAAACACGAGAAGGGATTCTTGTGTGCATTATACATGTGTGTATGATTTTTTCCATCAAGCTTCTTGTTGGTGTAATTGGTCAGAATAAAATATCGATGTTTAGAATTTTGTTAACGCGTCATGTACTTCCTTCCCCAATAATAACAAAAAATTAAATTTACGAAACATTAATTTGAGTACAAATTTAATTATTAGATCTTTTCCATAAAAAGCCAGTTTCCGGAAATGCATTATTTATAGCCTTATACAGATGATAATGCATTCTTCACTATCATTCATACCAGGGATTTTGCATATGAACGCGGAAATTTGGTTATACTAGGAATTTTTACATATGAATGCGGAAATTGGTATTGGGAATGAAATATTGTTTTGATGATGAGGTGGTTTAAGAAGTTGTGTATAAATATAACCAAAAATATCTACATGTGGTTGTTTTCGTCAATTAGTGATGTAAATTATCATGGTGTTAGGAAGCGATTAATGTGCCGTCACGTATACCGCAGAATTGTGAACTAAATATCGGTAATAACATAAATCCGAATTGCTTATTCTGAACATGAGTCTTTATTACATTAACATTAATTAACTAACAAAAATTTCATTTATAACTAATTTTGTTGTAAATACAAAAAAAGAAATCTTTTAAAGCTAAATATTTATAAAGAAATTATCCAATTATATATAAACACAAGTTCGTACATTCGTACATACGTACGTACATACATACATACATACATACATATGTATGTATGTATGTATAAATTCCCTCCATCATTCATTTTTTTAGAGATCAACCATGTAATCCGGAATGTCAACTATATGATCAGAATCATTGATGATAATATCACTCAGATCTTCCCATAGAAATTCATCATCACGTCTACCATTTTTTTCAGTTTCAACTTTTTTCTCTGCCTCACCATTTTGGGCTACTTGTCTATTCTCCGTCCTTTTTTCTCCTGTTTCAGCTTTTTTACCTAGTTCATTTTGTGTCGACGCTTCGTTGTCGGCTTTATCATGCTTTTCTTCTTTTGTTGTTTCCGTTTCTTTGGTTTCAGAAGCGTTTTCTTTATTATCTACTGCGCCTGTTTCCTCGGCAGCATCTTCTACATCATCCTCATCAACAGTAAATGAATGTTCAGAGATGACACTGCCAAATTCGCTTTTAGATTTGCCATTTGGATGTTGGAATTTGCAATCTGGTCTTCGGCATAGAACGCCAAATTTGCACTATAATAAAATAAATATATTGTTAATTTTTTCATTATACATAATTGATTAACCTAACACGTAAAATGAATGACGAGACACGTACTATCATATTGGAAGTATCCATATCCCACGGGTGTAAGAAATAACAATCTGGGCGAGTACAAGTAGCACCTTTCCAGCAAGGAGTTGGAACCTTTGATTCGTCCCTAAAAAAATAAAACCAAATTTAATATTAAAGAAAGTTAATTAAAATTAAACAAATTTTATTATTCACTTACCCAAAATCAGTATGAAGGTACGGACAATTTTGATTTTGACAATTGGGATAGTATCTGCAAGGTTCTTGAGTTGCTATCGCTAAATTAACCAAAAAAAAACCAAAAATTTAGTATATAGAGATACGATTTTCATCAATATGCCTATAATTAAAGCTAAATAAAATGTAAGGATAACTATACCAGCAGCTGGACTCGAATGCGCAAATTTACATTTTGGCTGTCGAAATAATAATAAGATTAATAATTGAAATCGATTGAAATAAAAATACTATATTGTCAATAATAAACATACATTTGTGCATTCTGTATCATATTTGCATGGTGTTTCAATTAGCGCAGGTGGGGCAGTTCCGGTCCCAACAGATGCAGGACTAGCATGAGCAAACATACAAATCGGTTTCGCGCAAGCTTCACCAAACTTGCATAAAACGGCAGGGGAGGCTGTTGTATTTGATGTGGTGGTGGCTGTTGCAGAGGCAGCTGTTATGGTCGATGTTGTTGCTGTTCCTGCTGCTGAGGTTACTTTTGATATGGTTTCTGTAACTGACTTTTCCATTGTACTTTGCTCACCATTGGTAGTGCCATTTTGTTTTGCTGAATTTTCATTCAGTACATTTGTGCCTTTTTCTGAAGAAATGAATCCTGCAGATTGTGTAGGAGCTATGTTTCTCCGCATATTTGTTTGTTGTCGTGAGGTCTGTGTGATTGAATTTGCTCCAAATGGATTTCTCGGATAAGAGTCAAATACATCAGTAGCTGGATGAATATATAAACATGTTCTGTCGGAATTAGGACAATTGGGGAATTGCCTACATTTAGAATAAATATAAATTAAATAGCGCTCATTAAATATAAAATGTAAATATTAAAGATCGCAAAAAGAAAAAAAATTACCTGCAAATTTCAGTTGGATGATGGAACTTGCACGCTGGTCCTAAATCACAGTTAGGCCAATGGCGACAACGCGATACTTTAGGCCCAAGTACAATGCTATCCGTAGTATTTTGCGGAGACATCATATCAATATCTGGAATTGGAGCCGGAGGATTATGAAAAAATGCAGGATTAATATAAGCAGTAGTCATCCCTCCTTTCTTTCCCAAACGGTCTAATACGCTACGCGGTTGTGCAAGAGGCCGTGAGGGCTCAAAACTAAATTGAGGTGAAGTGAAATACTGTGATTCCGAAGGGCGCCGTTCATTAACTAATGTATAATTAAGTAATTAACATAATAAATTAGAGAAAAATTTTTACTGTAAAGACATTCTTATTTCTACTGAGATAAAGCCTACCAAATCTACCACGCTCACTTCTCGGTGGTGTGTCATACATAAGATCGGGTGATGGGAGGTCTGGAGACATACGAACATTTACTCGATCTGGTGTTTGTCGACTTATCTGCCGTTCTGGAGTATATCTATTTATATGATTACCCCCACTATTACGAGAAGGGCTTGCTCGATCATGCATTCGTTCAGAGGAATGCCGATAATTTCTTGGATTATTCTCTGTTTGCATGTTATAGTCATTATTTTCAAAAGAGCGAAACTGCTCAGCAGCAGAATCATTTTCAATTTTCCGTGTTTTATTTTGAAAGCGATCATCATCTATTCGAAAATCGCTTGTTGGACTATATGGGCGTTTTGCTAGTTGAGCTTTTGACAGGTATTCGTCTTTAGATGCGAATTAATTGATGAAATGTATTAGTGATACTCTGAAAACTATAACATTAATAGAATTTTGAAGATGCTCACCTGGTCTTTCTCCATTCGGTTCACTACGTGCACTTCTGCTAGCGTCTTTTACAGCAGTCATGAACAGGCGTGAGTTAGTGTTAATGGCACCCGATCTCCTTGAAGATAAAGCAAATTTCGAAGCATATAAGATTAGAACTAAATAAATCTAAATAATTATTAATAACCCAAAATTCAAAACATAAATGACAGATTTAAACCTTTGTGTAGTGCGCCCTCCGACGCTTGAAACTACTGATCTGACGCGACGTTGTTCAATATTTTCGTTACTATACATGTTTAAGTCCTTGATCAACAAAGGTTTAATTGCGGAGTCAAGCAAAATGTGAGGTGGAAGAGTTAAAGGTTGTCCCCTAAGTTTATCATGTGGCTAATTCAGACCCACTAGCCACAATGATCATTAATAGTCACGTTAAGGGAATTACCTCGAATTTTTTTCTTGTACCGATTCTAGTATGAATGAAATAATATTTCAGTTTTTATTGTTGAATTATTTGTTTTATGAAAATATAATTTTTATAAAATTAATAGGTTTTCAAATACAACCTGTTAAATATAAATGATATATTATATGATTTATATTTTATTAAAAAAAAAGATTGTACTTATTATGATTATTTAATTTATAAAGTTATATTATTAAATAACTATGCCAAAAATCTTTTGAATTTAATTTTATTATAGTTTAATGATGATTTTATTATTATATACAGTAACTAAAATAAAACTTAAAGATTATAAGTTGTATTTTAATATATAGTAGCAATCAAAAGAATGGAATGCTAGAACAAATTTATTAATAAAACATAAGAAAAATGCGGGTTTTTCTCTTTATATAAAAGTTTTCAATTTTACTAATAAATATTTTTTATTTTTACATTAAAATAAAGATAATATCAGATATTTTAATATATATTTTTTCTAATTGCATATAAAGTTAATTATTTTTTTTTATAATAAAAACATATAAAAAAATAATTAACTTTACATGCAATTAGAACAGCTTTGTCAGATTAAATCTAAAAATCTGAAAAAATATATATTATCTTTATTTTAATGTAAAAATAAAAATATTTATTAGTAAAATTAAAAATTATTATATAAAGAGAAAAATCCATATTTTTCTTATTTTTATTATGTTTTATTAATAAATTTTGTTTTAGCATTCCTTTTTTTTAATTAACAAAGTTATTATAAAAAAAATTTTTTATAAGTAAAATGTAAAAATATTTATTAGTAAACTTAAAAATTATTATATAAAGAGAAAAATTCATATTTTCTTATTTTTATTAATAAATTTTGTTTTAGCATTCCTTTGTTAGTTATCATATAAATAAAAATTGAATTCTTTTTTTATTTTTTTAAAAAAATATTAATATTATATTAATTAATAAATATAATTATTTGAAAAAATATAAAATTAAAAAAATTATAAAATTAATTAATAGTGAAACAAAATATTTAAATTTATTGAATAAAATGATTAAATATTATATAAAATATTCAAAATAAAATATTAAGAATATTTTATAATCAAAAAAGAAAAAATAATTTATTTAAATATAAAAATATTAAATTCATTATTTTTATTATTTTTTATTGAATTTTATGTGAAATTATATCATTTTATAATTTAAAAGAAAATATATTAATTTATATAATTAAATATAATATATTAGTTATAAAATATATATAATATTATTTTGATTTAATCTGGTGATTTTTATAATAATTCAAGATTTTTAAAGTTATAAAATATACAAACTAAAAATATCAAATTATATATCCTATTTTAAATTTCTAAATTATTATATAATTAGAATGCAGTAAATTATAATAAAAATTGGCAATATCTATTATAATAAATTATAAATAATAATTATATTAATAAATTTATATAGTATTTAGTAATATAAACATTATTACAAATCAATTTAAGTTATATATTATATATATATTATTATTTTTAAAATATTGCTCTTTTATTATAAGAAATTGTTAATAAATAATTTCATTATCTGCATAATTTTGGTCATATTTTCATCATAATTCGTTTTTCATTATGATCTCCTATAATTATTATAAGTTTCAATTAGAATTAAATTTAGATCTAATATTAAGATCATTATATAGCAAATGAAATATCTTGCTGCATAATTTTAAGATGGTTGACATTAAAATCAAGAATCACATGATTCATTACCGTTCCAATTTCCTTTAGATGATAATTACCGAGTAAATGTCGGGCAGCTAAATTCCCATTTTCCGCGTAATTTTTGCATAACTCGAATGCTACATTATTATCTCTCCCTTCATAAAATTCTACAAGTTCTACTTATCCACGTGCATTTCCTGCATCAGCCGATTTCTTATACAATAAAAGAGCTTTACCAGGATCCCTTATTTCAAAAGTGC